CGGGAGCCTCTGGGAATTGCAGAGGTGTCCCGGGATGTGCTGCTGTGCTCCCTGCAGTGGCCACAGCCCTTTTAACCCTGTCCCTGTTCTCTCTGTCCCTCCCACAGCCCCGGACAGCCGGACCCCAGCTCGGTGACGGGGCTGTGCCTGGCCCTGCTCCTGTCCCCACGCCGCTGCAGCCAGGTGGGTGCCCCTGTTCCCTCGGGAATCAGCTCCCTCTGCTCCAAACCCGGGGAAGCAGCAGCTGGACACGAGTCCCCAGCAGGAATGAGCCCCCCTGTCCTTGCTGAGTCCATCCTGGGGCAGCTCCAGGCCCCCCCTGAGCAGCCCCTGTGTCCTTTTTGGTGGGGGTCACCTGGGATTTGGGCTTCCAAAGGGTCCCTCAGCACCAGCCTGGGCCTCTCCCGGGATTGCTGGGGATTCATGGTCAGAGGAGCAGCCTCTGCACAGCACCTGGAGCTGCCCACCCGTGCCTTGAGCCCTCACGAGTGGCTTCCTGAGCTTGCCAGGAAACCCAGAACTCCCTGAGCAGCTCCCTGGGCCTGTTGCTGCATCCCAGGGCTGGTTCCTCCTCCCCAGCCATCCCTGCTTTCCCCACATCCCATTCCTCTTCCTTCACCATCTGTTTTAACACATCCAACTCCTCCTCCCTCACCATCTCTGCTTCCCCCACACCCAATTCCTCCTCCCTCACCATCTCTGCTTCCCCCACACCCAATTCCTCCTCCCTCACCATCTCCCCATGCCTGTATCCCATCCCTGCTCCCTCACCCCATCCCTGCTCCCTCACCCCATCCCTGCTCCCTCACCCCATCCCTGCTCCCTCACCGCCTCTGCTTTTCCCCCCAGGAGCTCTGGGCTCTCCCAGGAGCCCATCCCGAGGGGTTGCCCATGGAATAGGCGTTTTTCCAGGCGCCTGGGCACAGCGGGAGGCTGAAGTTGGTTGCCCCGGGGCACCCGAGCTCGCCGTGCCCTGGAGCCCCCGGCCTCTGCCATGAATGATGCATCCACCATGGATTATGAACTGCTCTCCCCGTCCCTGGTGGAGCACCCCGCCGGCGCCGCGGGCATGGACGCCGAGCAGAAAACTGTCTTTGCCTTCGTCATCTTCCTCCTGGTGTTCTTGGTGATGCTGATGGTGCGCTGCTTCCGCATCCTGCTGGACCCCTACAGCCGCATGCCCGCCTCCTCCTGGACGGACCACAAGGAGGGCTTGGAGAGGGGCCAGTTCGACTACGCCCTGGTGTGAGGGGAGCCCGGGGTGGGCTCCAGGTCCCCTCCCCGCGCTGGCCCCGGCCCCGGCCCCCCTTCCCTCCGCGGTGCTCCCCGCAGGGATGCTCCGGGCAGGGGGGCTGGCGGGGGGCTGCGGCCCCGGGGAGGTTTTCTAGGGGTTTCTCTCTTTTCTAAGCACTTTTCGGTTCTCTTGGCAGCCCGCGGGACGCTGGGGGCTGGACGGGGCTCGGGCTCCGCGCGGGCCCCGCTGCCCCTCGTGCCCCCGGGCACGGCGGAGGGGACGGGACGGGGCATGGCGGGACCTGCCCCCGGCCCGCGGGACCCCTGGGCTGGGCTCTGCCCGGTGCCAGACCCGAGCTTTGACCCCTCCTGCCCCCCCGTGCCCCCCGGCGGTGCCCCCCGGGGGTGCCCCCGTGCTCCAGTGCGTGTCTGTGTGTCCTGTAGCTGAGCTGTGTCCGTCAGGGGTTTCTCGGCACCAGCCCCCAGTGCTGGCTTTGTTCCTCTCTGTGCCAGTCCCCAGCACCCCAAAAGGGAGGGGAGGGTGGTCACCCCCCCTGTGCAGCCCCCCTTGGCCTCCAGCCCTGTTCCCTCCCCTCTGTCCCTGCCCAGCTGGTGACAACGCAGCGAGGGGCAGTCCTGGGGACACCAGGACGGGTCAGGGGTCCCCAAAACCCCCGGGAGAGGCTCCTGTGCCAGCACGGCGCTGGCAGCGCCCCGAGCATCCCTGCTGGGGTGCCCGGCCCTTCCGCGGCTCTGGCAGGGCTCTGGAAGTGCCGAGGGGCGAGCGGGGGAGCTGCGGGGGGCCCCGGGGCTGCCAGAGGCCGAGCTGGCAGCGGGAGGGTTCGTGCCAAGGGATTTGGGCCCGGGAGGGGTGGAAACCTCGCCCCCCCCTCCATGGAAATAAAGCAGCACCGTGCCGACCCCAGCCGGCTCCTGCTCCGCTCTGTGACGCGTCCGGGAGGGGAACGGAGCCTCCCCAAATGCTGGGAGTGACCAGCAGGACACGGGGACACGGCCCGGCCGCCTCCTGTCCCAGCACGGTCCGGCACAGATCCCCTCGCACGCACGGAGCTGTCCCAGGACATTTTCCGGCTGGCCGAGCTCCCGTTTGTCCCCTGCCCGGTTCTGTCCCCTCTGCCCGGTTCTGTCCCCTCTCTCCCGGTTCTGTCCCCTCTCCCGGTTCTGTCCCCTCTCTCCCGGTTCTGTCCCCTCTCCCGGTTCTGTCCCCTCTCTCCCGGTTCTGTCCCCTCTCTCTCTCCTGTCCCCTCTCTCTCCCGGTTCTGTCCCCTCTCTCCCGGTTCCGTCCCCTCTCCCGGCCCGGTGCTGCAGTCCCGCCCGCCCTCTGCTGGCACCGGGCTCCGTCTGTGCTGGCAGCCGGGAAGCGCTTCCAAAAACCGGGAATATCAGCCTGGAAGGAGCGTCTGGGCTCCAGCCCTGCCATGGCAGGGACACCTCCCGCTGCCCCGGGGACTGCCAGCCCCAGCTGCTCTGGGAATTCCATCCCAGCCCCTCACAGCCTGTCTCCCCCTACGCTCCCCTCTCCCGACCTGTTCTGTCCCCTCTCTCCCGGTTCTGTCCCCCCTCCCTGCCCGGTTCTGTCCCCTCTCTCCCGGTTCTGTCCCCTCTCTCTCCCGGTTCTGTCCCCTCTCTCTCTCCCGGTTCTGTCCCCTCTCTCCCGGTTCCGTCCCCTCTCCCGGCCCGGTGCTGCAGTCCCGCCCGCCCTCTGCTGGCACCGGGCTCCGTCTGCGCTGGCAGCCGGGAAGCGCTTCCAAAAACCGGGAATATCAGCCTGGAAGGAGCGTCTGGGCTCCAGCCCTGCCATGGCAGGGACACCTCCCGCTGCCCCGGGGACTGCCAGCCCCAGCTGCTCTGGGAATTCCATCCCAGCCCCTCACAGCCTGGAATTCCCTCCCAATACCCACCCAAATTCCCCCGCTCCCGTGTGAAGCCATTCCCTGCGTCCTGTCCCTCCATCCTTGTCCCCAGTCCCTCCCCATCTCTTTCTGGAGCCTTCTCCAGGCTGGACAATCCCAATTCTGCCTCCAAGGAATCCTTCTCCAGGCTGGACAATCCCAATTCTGCCTCCAAGGAATCCTTCTCCGCTGGCAGCCGGGAAGCGCTTCCAAAAACCGGGAATATCAGCCTGGAAGGAGCGTCTGGGCTCCAGCCCTGCCATGGCAGGGACACCTCCCCCTGCCCTTGGCACTGCCAGCCCCAGCTGCTCTGGGAATTCCATCCCAGCCCCTCACAGCCTGGAATTCCCTCCCAATACCCACCCAAATTCCCCCGCTCCCGTGTGAAGCCATTCCCTGCGTCCTGTCCCTCCATCCTTGTCCCCAGTCCCTCCCCATCTCTTTCTGGAGCCTTCTCCAGGCTGGACAATCCCAATTCTGCCTCCAAGGAATCCTTCTCCAGGCTGGACAATCCCAATTCTGCCTCCAAGGAATCCTTCTCCAGGCTGGACAATCCCAATTCTGCCTCCAAGGAATCCTTCTCCAGGCTGGACAATCCCAATTCTGCCTCCAAGGAAGCTCCAGGTCGGAGCTGGACGGGCCCAGTCTGTGCCCACACAAAGACACAGCCCCACTTAACCCAAAATAATTTTATTGTTGCCGTTGCTTCTGATACAAAAAAGGAATTCCACAAAGAGCCACCTCTCTGTGCGGGACAAGGGGCACAGGTTTGGGGTTTCAACATTTCCCCCCAAAAAAACCAACCAGCAAGAAATGTCAATATAAAACAAATTTTAAAAAAACCAAAAAAACAACCAAAAAAAAACACCAACCAAAAAGAAAAACCCAGAAAACAAACCAAAACACCACACCAGAGAGGAGGAGAGGAAACTGAGCTTTGAGACTTTGGCTCAACACACGCACACAAACCCAGCTCTGCTAATTTATTATTATTATTATTAATACTTTTTGGATTTTGGTTTTTCTTTTTTTTTTTGGTTGGTTTTTTTTTTTTTAATTATTATTTTTGGTTTGTTTTTTTCCGACAGGTGCTTTTTTTTAAAAAAAAGCACCTGTCGGAAAAAAACAAACCAAAAATAATAATTAAAAAAAAAAAAAAAAAACAAACAGAAAAAACCAATCCCAAACATCAGGCCACCCATCCTGTCACAAGCTCTGGGACTCTTGTAAAATCCAGAGTCTGGAGCTGCTTTGAAGAGTTTTCAAGTTTGCCTGGAGCCCCGATACAGTAAACACACACATCCCCCACCCCAGAGAAATTCCCACCCCTCCAAAAACAGGGAAAGCTACAGGAAAATGCACTCCTGACAGCACCGAGCCAGCATTCCTTTGGTGGTTTTCCATAAATATGGGAGGGTGGAGAGATACAGTGCAGAACGCTGGCCAGGAACCAGCACCCAGGAGGCAGTTCCGTGGGGCCCTGCAGGGATCAGCTGGGAGAGGCAGGAGGGGAAGCCCAGCCGGGCAGAAGGGGCTGCAGACCCCCCAGAGCAGAGCATCATCCCCAGAGGTGCTGACCCCACGGGGACATCCCCCAGGGCTGATCCCAGGGACATTCCATGTGTCTGATCCCAGGGACATTCCCGCGGCTGTCCTGCTGGGTGCTGACCCCAGGGACATTCCCCGTGGCTGACCCCAGGGACATTCCCCGTGGCTGACCCCAGGGACATTCCCCGCGGCTGTCCCAGCGCTGGCGGCGGCGGTGGCAGGAGAGGAGCCCGTTGTTCGCGGGGTGGGTGGCGAGGGGCAGGGCTGCGCTGTCGGGTGGGACTGGGGGGGTCTCTGGTGCCTTCTTTAGTAGAGCTGGAGCTGCAGCTTCATCCTCAGCGCCTGGCCCAGCTCCCCCGCCAAGTAGTCGAGGTGGTTGCTGGCCTCGAGTTTGTGCAGTTCCCGCCGGCGGGGCAGGGCCACGCTGACGATCTCCAGCAGGTAGGTGCCCGGCAGGATTTTCTTGCGGCCCAGGTGCAGGAAGCTGAGCCCCTCCTTGTGGTGGATGCGGAACAGCCCCTCGTCGTTGCCCTGGGCGATGGCGTAGCGCACGCGGTTCTCCAGCGGCTCCAGGGCCGGCAGCAGCTCCAGGATGTGCTCCTTGTGCGCCAGCTCCGACAGGTTCAGCGTCATGGACAGCGGCGCCTCCACGTCCATGCTGGCCAAGTTCACGGCGTGCTCCTGCCAAGGAAAGGGGGCAGGTGTCACCCAGGGGACAGCGGGGACAGTGGGTGTCACCCAGGGGACAGCGGGGACAGTGGGTGTCCAGCAGAGGCAGTGGGTGTCACCCAGGGGACAGCGGGGACAGTGGGTGTCCAGCGGAGGCAGTGGGTGTCACCCAGGGGACAGCGGGGACAGTGGGTGTCACCCAGGGGACAGCGGGGACAGTGGGTGTCACCCATGGGCAGACAGCCTGTGGTCAGCAGGCGGGAAGAGACACTTGGTTATGAGAAACCTGCAGTTCTTACAGAAATCTTATAGAGTTCTTATAGAAACCTTATAGAAATCTTATAGAGTTCTTATAGAAATCTTATAGAGTTCTTATAGAAATCTTATAGAGTTCCTATAGAAATCTTATACAGTTCCTATAGAAACCTTATAGAAATCTTATAGAGTTCTTGTAGAAATCTTATAGAAATCTTATACATTTCTTATAGAAATGCTATACAGTTCTTAGAGAAATCTTAGAGAAATCTTATAGAGTTCTTATAGAAACCTTATAGAAATCTTATAGAGTTCTTGTAGAAATCTTATAGAAATCTTTAAAAAATCTTATAGAAATGCTATACAGTTCTTAGAGAAATCTTAGAGAAATCTTATAGAGTTCTTATAGAAATCTTAGTTCTTGTAGAAATCTCATACAGTTCTTATAGAAATGCTATACAGTTCTTACAGAAATCTTATAGAGTTCTTATAGAAATCTCACATAGTTCTTGTAGAAATCTTATACAGTTCTTAGAGAAATCTTATACAGTTCTTGTAGAAATATCATACAGTTCTTATAGAAACAGTGGTGGAATTAAGACCTGATTGGCCTTTAAGAATCTTCTTTCATGCTATGTGTGACCTATGAGTAGTACACTCTGGAGAACTATATCTATAAACAGATGAACTATAGATGAACTATTTCTATCTATATATTTATATATATATCTAATAGAGAACTGTGCCTATAAACAGATTAACTATATTATCTATCTATCTATCTATCTATCTATCTATCTATCTATCTATCTATCTATCTCTAACAGAGAACTATATCTATAAACCATATCTATGTGGTTACAGAGAGAGAGATAATAATTGCTGGAATTCTTTAGTCTAAGTTTCTCACAGCTTCCCAGGATTGTCTGGGAGAGCTATGGCTCTCTCAGTTCAGAGAATATGGAATTACTACATTCAGGGAAGGCTCAGGGGCAGGAAAAGGTGGGTTTGGTTTAGGGAAATTCAGCCCTAAATCAACTTTGGGAAGTGACAGCTTTGGGTTTCTTGGTGTGCTGGTTGTGCCTCTGGCACTGAATTCCCAGCACACAGCTCCCACCCCGGGGAGGATCAGTAACTTCATTCTCCTTCCAAGCCCTAAAAGGACCTCTCCTGCCCAGGGCTGTGAAATTCCCGGGAGAGCTTTGGACAGAGGCCAGAACTCCCTCTGAGGAACAGCACCATGGAGTGGTCTGGGCTGAAAAAGACCTTAAAAAGTCTTGTTCCAGCTCCATGGGACACCTCCCACTATCCCAGCTTGCTCCAAGCCCTGTCCAGCCTGGCCTTGGAGAATTCCAGGGACGGGAAACGTGAGCTTTATTCCCTGTTTTCACAAGAAGGGCTTGGGGATGCCAAACCTGGGCAGACAGGGATGAGCTGCTGGCTCTGCCTGGACTGAGGGAATGGGATCCACTGCAGTTGTGTATTCCTGAAGGGATGCAGCTCCTGCCTTGCTCCAGCCCCTCCAGGATGCCCTGGATTTCTCACCTGGTGCCTCTCCGTGCCGTTGACGCTGCGCCGCTGCCGGCCCCTCTTGGGGTACCCGTTGATCTTGCACTCGTAGCAGGTCTCGGGGGACAGCAGGTTGTCCTCATCCTCCTCCTGGGGCGCAGGCAGGTAGGGACCCTTCCCAAATCCCAGGCCAGAAATGCAGTGGCTGGTGGCAGAGGAGCAGAGGGAATCCATGAACCCAACGGAAATGCCACCGCTGCCGGGTTCCCCGTGTGGGAAACACCCAGGGGAACGTGTGGGGTGCGGCAGAGGACGTGCCCAAGAGACACCACAACAAGGTGGTTTCATTAATTAACAGATTAATTAATGCACTGGGTGTAACCACAGAGCACCTGCTGGCACCCCTGGCATCAGGCACGCAGGGCAGGAGACGCGCTGGCACAGGCTGAAGGAGGAGAAGCTGGGGGCTCCTTGTCCCACATCCCCCCACAATTCCCAGCTGGGGACGCCCCTCTGGCCCTCCTTACCCCTGTCCTGCTCGGAAGTAGCCCCCAGGGCAGCCACAGAGGTACCCCCCGTCCGTGTTGGAGCAGCCGTAGCTGCAGGGGCTGCCCCCGGCCGAGCACTCGTCCACGTCCTGGCAGCCCCCGAAGGCCTGGTCGAAGTCGAAGCCCGAGGGACAAACGCACTTGAAGCTGCCCAGGGTGTTGTAGCAGGAGGCAGAGCCACAGGCAGAGGGGCTGGAGCACTCGTTCTCATCTGCACGGAGCCGTGGAGGGTGGAAAGGTGGGGACACGGAGTCACCGAGTGATGGCATGTCCCCCATGGGTACAGGGTAGCTCCCATGGGTACAGGACACTCCCCATAGGTATGGGGTACACCCCACAGGTATGGGATACACCCCACTGGTACAGGATACACCCCACAGGTGTGGGCTGCATCCTACAGGTACAGGATGTATCCCACAGGTATGGGATACACCCCATGGGTACAGGATACACCCCACGGGAACAGGATACACCCCACGGGTATGGGATACACTCCATGGGTACAGAATACACCCCACAGGTACGGGATACACCCCACAGGTGTGGGGTGCATCCTACAGGTACAGGATGTACCCCACAGGTATGGGATACACCCCACAGGCACAGGACACCTCCCCCAGGCAGGGGACACCTCCCAAGAGCAGGGGACACCTCCCCAGGGAGGGCACAGCTCCCAGGGCAGGGCACAGCTCCCCCAGGGCAGGGCACAGCTCCCCCAGGGCAGGGCACAGCTCCCCGGGCAGGGCACAGCTCCCCAGGAAGGGGACACCTCTCCCAGGCAGGGCACAGCTCCCCCAGGGCAGGGCACAGCTCCCAGGGCAGGGCACAGCTCGGGCAGGGCAGGGCACAGCTCCCCGGGCAGGGCACCAGGGCACAGCTCCCCCAAGCAGGGCACAGCTCCCCCAGGGCACAGCTCCCCCAGGGCAGGGCACAGCTCCCCGGGCAGGGGACACCTCTCCCAGGCAGGGCACAGCTCCCCAGGTGTGCCCCCCACTCACCCACGCACTGGTTCCACTGGTAGTGCTGCACGTAGCCCTGGGGGCAGCCGCAGCGGTACCCCCCGAGCACGTTCTGGCAGCCATGCTGGCACCGGTGGTTCCCGTCACACTCGTCCACATCTGCACCCGAGGGACACACAGCGAGTGAGGCACTGTCCCCTGGCCCTGGCTCAGCCTGGCACCCTCCAGGCTGCTCCTGTGCCTCCCTCTGGCTCTGCAGTTCTGCAGTTCTGGGAGATGAGTGACACCCCCGGCTCCCAGGCATCCCTGCTGGGATGTCCCTGACTCCAGCTGAGGCCTGGGCTGTCCCCAGCTCTGCTCTGCTTCAGGCTGAGATGTCTCCTGCTGGAATTTGGCACCATTCCCTTCCCCAAGGATCATCCAGTCCAACCCCCAGCCCTGCCCAGACCCCCCAACAACCCCACCCCGACCCTAAGAGCGCTGTCCAGACACCCCTGGGAGCTCCCATCTGGACTGGGGCTCCTCAGAGAACCTCAGAACTGCTCCCATGGAAGCTCCCTGGAGCCCCAGCCTCACCTTCACAGTTGACCCCGGAGCTGTCCAGGGAAAATCCCTTCTGGCACTCGCAGTTGTAGCTGCCCGGGGTGTTCAGGCACTGCCCTTTGGCTCCACACAGGGAGGGCTGAGCTGTGCACTCGTTGTTGTCTGCAAAACACCACCAGGAGGGCTTTGTGGCCACCTGGAAACCCATCCCTGGCCACTGGAAATCCACCTGGAAATCCACCTGGAAACCCATCCCTGGCCACATGGAAATCCACCTGGAAATCCACCTGGAAATCCATCCCTGGCCACATGGAAATCCATCCCTGGCCACTGGAAACCCACCTGGGAACCCATCCCTGGCCACCTGGAAACCCATCCCTGGCCATCTGGAAATCCACCTGGAAACCCATCCCTGGCCACCTAGAAATCCACCTGGAAATCCACCTGGAACCCCATCCCTGGCCACCTAGAAATCCACCTAGAAATCTACCTGGAAATTCACCTGGAAACCCATCTCTGGCCACCTGGAAACCCATCCCTGGCCACCTGGAAACCCATCCTTGACCACCTGGAATCCCATCCCTGGCCACCTGGAAATCCACCTGGAAATTGGAAACCCACCTGGGAACCCATCCCTGGCCACCTGGAAACCCATCCCTGGCCATCTGGAAATCCACCTGGAAACCCATCCCTGGCCACCTAGAAATCCACCTGGAAATCCACCTGGAACCCCATCCCTGGCCACCTGGAAACCCATCCTTGACCACCTGGAATCCCATCCCTGGCCACCTGGAAATCCACCTGGAAGTCCATCCCTGGCCCTGTGGCCACCTCAGATGCTGGGGCAGAGCCCAGGCTGAGCAGCAGAGGGACAATGCAGCCACTGCCAGGGTGAGTGCAGAGGGGCAGGGATCAGTTTGGGGAGTCTGAGGGCTGGGAAGCCTCTCCTGAGCCAGAGCTGCTCCGAGGGAATGGGCAGGGCAGGAATTCAGGAATTCTGCACTCACCAATGCAGGAGGAGTGGTGCTGGGTGAAGCCAGGGGGGCACTTGCAGTTGAAGCCCCCGATGACGTTGACACAGAGGAACTGGCAGTTGTGCTGCTTGGTGGAACACTCGTCCAAGTCTGGAGGGACAAGGAAAAGGTCTCAGCTCATCCCCCTGAGGCTGTGACACCTCAGTGGCCCTGTGGATGCACAGCAGCAGCCCCGGGAACAACACCCCTGAAGTTCTCCCAGGGGAAGGAGAAAGGAAGCCTCTCCTGAGCCAGAGCTGCTCCGAGGGAATGGGCAGGGCAGGAATTCAGGAATTCTGCACTCACCAATGCAGGAGGAGTGGTGCTGGGTGAAGCCAGGGGGGCACTTGCAGTTGAAGCCCCCGATGACGTTGACACAGAGGAACTGGCAGTTGTGCTGCTTGGTGGAACACTCGTCCAAGTCTGGAGGGACAAGGAAAAGGTCTCAGCTCATCCCCCTGAGGCTGTGACACCTCAGTGGCCCTGTGGATGCACAGCAGCAGCCCCGGGAACAACACCCCTGAAATTCTCCCAGGGGAAGGAGAAACCTGTCCCCACCTCGGGGTAACACAGACACATCTGGAAAATGCAGGGGTGCTCCCCTGCCTCTCCTGCAAGTCACAAATCCCAAGGGCACAGGATACACCCCAAGGGCACAGGATACACCCCATGGTACAGGATACACCCCAAGGGCACAGGATACACCCCATGGGCACAGGATACACCCCAAGGGCACAGGATACACCCCATGGGTACAGGATACACTTCACAGGTACAGCATACCCTCTCCTGCAAGTCACAAATCCCAAGGGCACAGGATACACCCCAAGGGCACAGGATACACCCCATGGTACAGGATACACCCCAAGGGCACAGGATACACCCCATGGGTACAGGATACACCCCATGGTAGAGGATACACCCCATGGGCACAGGATACACCCCAAGGGCACAGGATACACCCCATGGGTACAGGATACACTTCACAGGTACAGCATACACCCCATGGGTACAGAATACACCCCACAGATACAGGATACACCCCAAGGGCACAGGATACACCCCATGGGTACAGGATACACCCCATGGGTACAGGATACATCCCAAGGGTACAGGATACACCCCATGGGCACAGCATACACCCCATGGGTACAGAATACACCCCACAGATACAGGATACACCCCAAGGGCACAGGATACACCCCAAGGGCACAGGATACACCCCATGGGCACAGGATACACCCCATGGTACAGGATACACCCCATGGGTACAGGATACACCCCATAGGCACAGGATACACCCCAAGGGCACAGGATACACCCCATGGTACAGGATACACCCCAAGGGCACAGGATACACCCCATGGGCACAGGATACACCCCAAGGGCACAGGATACACCCCATGGGCACAGGATACACCCCATGGGTACAGGATACACCCCATGGGTACAGGATACACCCCACAGGAAGATGCAGGGATGTTCCCCAGCCTCTCCTGCACGTCACACCTCCCAGGCTCTCCCAGATCCTCAGGCCAGGCTCCTCAGCACTGGGGGGGTGGGCACAGCCCCAGCCTGCCTGGTGACAATGCCACGTGCAGGGGACATCCCTCTGAGCTCCCTGGAGCTCAGGATATGCTGTGCAGATTCCAGCCAAGGGCCAGGAGCATTTTTTTCCCCTGATCAGGCACACCTGGAGCGTGGGAGGGTGAAAGCCTCACGCAGCAGCCCAGCGTGGCACCTTTCCCCACATCCTCCTGCTGACATTTGTCCCTGTCTGGCTGGGCTGTCCCCTCTCCCCCAGCTGCCAGGGGGAGGCAGCTCTCTGCTCCTGGCTCTGTACCTTTGCAGATCTTGCCGTCCTCCTGCAGGACGTAGCCCCGGGGGCAGGAGCACTGGTAGCTGCCCTCGGTGTTCTTGCAGATGAAGTTGCAGGGCTTTGGGGACTGGTTACACTCGTCCAGATCTGCACTCCAGACACAAAACACATCAGGTTGTGCTGCTGGGCAGGGTCCCCTGTACCCTTCAGACCTCCCAGCCCACTCAGGGTCTCCTGAACACAAGGTGGTGCCAGGGGTGAGATATCCCCATGGATTCTGGCATTTCTGGACAAACACCCCATTTTCACTCTCCAGGAAGCAGCTGAGCAGAGCCAAGGGCTTTGGGGGAGCAGCTCAGTTCGAGCCAGCACAACAAATCTGGGACAAATCCTGCTGAGAGAGCGCTGTGACTCCAGATGTGCCTTTTATGCCTACATCTGGATCCCAGCACGGCGCTCAGCCTGGGGGGGGGTGGGGGCTGGCAGCTCCCAGATCCCAGCTCAGCATCCCAGTCCTTGCCAGCCCCTGGGCTCGGGGAAGACACGGAGCTCATTTTTAAGGAGTTAAAGAAGGACCTGGAGGTGAACAGGGGGGAGCAGCACAGCCACAACCCTCGAGGAGCCGAGGGAAGGGCGGGTCCCGGGCGGGGCTGAGGAGCGGGGAGGGCAGCCCGAGGATGCTGGGGTCGCACAGGGGGCCCGGCTCACCCTGGCACGCCGTGCCCGTGATGTCCGGGGTGTAGCCCAGCCGGCAGTGGCAGCGGAAGGAGCCGATGCTGTTGATGCACTGCCCGTTCCTGCACAGGTTGGGCAGCACCTTGCACTCGTCGATGTCTGTGGAGGGGCAGGAGGAGCTGTCAGCGCCACAGCTGCTCTGTCCCCAAATGCCAGGGCAGCTCGCTGGCCACGAAAAGCTTATCTGGTGTTTGTTATCAGATAATTCACACAGCACAAGTGCCTCGGAGTTATTTTGGCGCCGTGGTCTGGCAGCTCCCAACTGCCAATAAACATCCCCCGGCTAAAGTGGGAGCTGGGAAGAGAAACTGGGTTTGTGGCTGAGCTGTCACAAAGCAGAAATCCTCTGCCCATTCCCTGGAGGTGTGTGGGGCTTCTCCCCAGAGCAGGGATGGAGGCTGAGGGGACTCTGTTAATTTATCATTATTTCCATGCTAAGTTACATTTGGCTCCTGATCAATCCTATTTCTTTTGCCAGCTTTAACACCCCGATATCTGCACAGTTTATGTTCTGCTGTAGTCTACCACTTTTCATTTTACACTGTGTGATAAGTAATTCTGATTAAGATCTTTTATCTCCTTTGTTAATAAACAACTCATTCTACAACAGACCTGATCTTAAAGGCCTAAACCCTTGAAGGCCAGAGGGATTCCTTAAAATTAATCCAAAAATCCAAGGCTGGTCTGAAGCTCCCCTCACCCCATGACAGGCTGGATTCTCCCACAGAGCTGGGGAACCCTGCAGAGGCTCCGTGTCTGCTCTGGGGGGACCATCCCTGTGCCCACCCCTGCCCCACTCACCTCTGCCATCCGTGGAGTAGCCGGGGCCGTGGGGACACATCTTCTTGTAGTGGGCAGTGCCAGGCAGGGGGCAGAGCTCGCACTGGGGGCCCCAGCTGCGCCCGCTGTTGCAGCAGCACTCGGACTTGGTGACCAGGTTGCGGTTGGTGGAGGACATCTGGCACATGGTCTGCAGCACCTCCGTGAAGCAGAAGCCCTGGCGGGTGTCTGGGCACGGAAAGGGGACACACAAATGCAGGGTCTGAGGCAGTGCCAGCACCAGGGGGGATGGAGCAGGCGGTGCCAGGGAACCTGGGGGGGTTTGGATAAAGGCGATGCTCCGACAGTGGTTTGGGTTGGAGGGACCTTAAACCCACCCTGTGCCACCCCTGCCGTGGCAGGGACACCTCCCACTACTCTAGGGTGCCCCAACCCCCATCCAACCCGGCCTTGAACAGCTCCAGGGGCAGCCAGAGCTTCTCTGGGCACCCTGTGCCAACCCCTCCCAGGGAACAATTCCCATCCGCCAGCAGGAAGCCATCCCCTGTGTCCCTGTCCCCAGTCCCTTCCCGCTCTCTGAGCCCTTCTGAAGACCCCCAGAGCCGCCTGCTCCGCCGGGGGGGCGCTGCAGCAGCCCGGGAGGGACATTACCGATGCACTCGGTGCCCGAGGGACTGACTTCGAAGCCCTCGTTGCAGTCGCAGCGGTAACTGCCGGCCGTGTTCACGCAGCGCCCGTTGGGGCAGATGCCGGGCTTGGTGCGGCACTCGTTCTCATCTGCAGGGAGGCACCACACACACACAGCCCTGCTGAGGCCGGGCACAACCCTCCCCAGCTCCCCACTCCCCGTGGAGAGCCCTCACTGAGCCCCTGAGGATCCCTTCTGTGTTTGGGCAGCTGGGAGGAACCTCCACCTGCCCTGGGGAGAACATCCACCCATCCCAGACCTCTTCCAGAGTAGGGTGGGCAGAATTCAGCTTCCCTGGCTTGCCCATGCTCCAGCTGCTGCTGGGACTGGATTGGACTGGATTGGATTGGACTGGACTGGATTGGATTGCATTGGGTTGGATTGCATTGGATTGGATTGGATTGCATTGGAATGGATTGGATTGGATTAGATTGGACTGGACTGGACTGGATTGGATTGGATTGCATTGGATTGGACTGGACTGGATTGCATTGGATTGCATTGGATTGCATTGCAATGGATTGCATTGGATTGGATTGGATTGCATTGCATTGCATTGCATTGCATTGCATTGCATTGCATTGCATTGGAGCCGTCTCTGTCCCTGCAGCTCTGGGTTGCTCATTCCTACCCATCCCAAAAGCAGCTTGGAACACTCAGGAAAACTCAAAGACAAGGACGCGTGGCCCAGGGCTGTGTCACCCTCGGGGTGACACACAGGTCCAGGGATGGACAGAGGTTTTGTGTGTCCTACTGGGACACTCAGGAAGTTGTGACACGTGGGAAAGCCCAGGGAGGAGCCCGAGGATGTAAACCAAGAAGGATGTAAAGCAAAGAGGGATGTAAAGCAAAGAAGGATGTAAAATAAAGAAGGATGTAAAGCAAAGAAGGATGTAAAGCAAAGAGGGATGTAAAGCACAGGTCCGTGGGTGATCCCTCAGAGAGGAACATTCCTGTCTGTGCCCCAGGAATGCCCAGGCTGCCCTGGTACCTGTGCAGCCCTCGCCGTCGGGCCTGCGCTGCATGCCAGGAGGGCAGATGCACATGAAGGTGCCGATGAGGTTCTTGCAGAGCATCCCCCGGGACTCGCAGTCATGCAGCCCCTCTGCACACTCATCCAGATCTGCAACGAGACCCATCAGAGCCCCTGCCAGCCCTGCCAGCCCAGCCCTGCCACCTCTGCCCTGCCCCATCCCTCCCTGCAGCCTCGGGCCAGGCCGGCTGGCACACAGGTTAAAAAACATCATAAAATGAGTTGGGACTTTGAAACTCATCCAGTGCCAGCCCTGCCATGGCAGGGACACCTTCCACTGTCCCAGGCTGCTCCAAGCCCTGTCCAGCCTGGCTTTGGACACTTCAGAAATCCAGCCCCAGCTTCTCTGGGAAACCTCCCCACCCTCCCAGGGAAGAATTCCTTCCTACCAGCAGGACACCAAGGCGGGTGACGGTGAGAAAAGCCAGCGCAGAATTCCCACCTTCCCTGTGCACACCTGGCCAGGTGCAGGGGCTGGGGACACTTTGGGCCGTGCCCTGCTGGCTGCAGAAGGGGTTTTACCTCTGCACATCCTCCTGTCCTCCCGCAGGGCGTACCCAGAGGGGCAGGTGCACTCGTAGGAGCCGAAGGTGTTGATGCAGCGGAAGGCGCAGAGCAGGGGGTTCAGGGAGCACTCGTTGATGTCTGCAGGGAGGAGGGGACAGAACTCACCTGGGTGCCCTCAGCAGGGGCAGGAGCTCCCCAGGGCACATCCACCCTCGCTGGGCATCCATCCCAGCAGAGCTTTGCTCCACCAAAGCCTCCTGCTGTGGTCTGCCCTTGCAGAGGGGCAGAGCCCTGGTGTCCCAGCAGCTTTGGTGGGAATGGGCTGCTGCTCCTTGGGGAGGCAGCTCCTGTGCTCATCCAGGGCTCCAGGGCTCCTCCTGGGCTCCAGAGGGAGCTGAAGGAGCCCAATGTGGAGAGGAGCCTCATCCAGCTTTTCCACCCCATCCACGGGGGGCTGGTCCAGGCAGGGACCAGCATGGTAGGAATGAAGGGATGAGCCCAGGCAGGGACCAGGGGGTCCCACAGAGCCCACATGGTGGGGATGAAGGGATGAGCCCAGGCAGGGACCAGGGGGTCCCACAGAGCCCAGCATGGTGGGGATGAAGGGCTGTGCCCAGGCAGGGACCAGGGGGTCCCACAGAGCCCAGCATGGTGGGGATGAAGGGATGAGCCCAGGCAGGGACCAGGGGGTCCCACAGAGCCCACGTGGTGGGGATGAAGGGGCTGTCCCCCAGGTCATTACCTTCACAGGTCATCATGGGCCCTGGCTCGAAGCCCTCGTCGCAGGCGCACTCGAAGCCTCCCACCACGTTGGTGCAGGTGCCATTCCCACAGGGATTGCCAATGGAGCACTCGTCCGTGTCTGGGGAGCACAGCAGCGTGAGGAGGAGGAGGAGGAGGAGGGTGGGGAAGGGCTGGGCTGGGCTCTGGCAGGCAGAGCACTCCAAGTGTCCCAGCAGAGCTGGGATGGAAGGGAAGGGGCAGGGGAGCAGCAATTCCCTCCCTGCACGTGCACACACGGATCCATCCCCTCTGGAGCGAGGGGGATGGAGCAGGAGGGAGCAGGGCACCCCCCCCAGAGCCCCCCAGAGTCTCACCCACGCAGTTGACCCCGGTGTAGTCCAGGTTGTAGCCGAAGGGGCACTCGCAGCGGAAGGAGCCGTCGGTGTTGATGCAGGCGCCGTTGATGCACACCCCCAGGTTCTCCGAGCACTCGTTCACGTCTGGAAATGGAAAATGCAGCTTCACACGGCCACAAAGAGCCCTGTCCCCTCAGCACTGCCAGGGGATGCTCAGGGGAACCCGGGAGTTTCGGGTGTTGCCTTTCCAGAGCTGAGGGATGAGCCCCTGGTGAGCAGTCTGGGGGGTTTGGGGGTGCCCGGCCCCGTGTGCCCCCAGGATCCCACCCTGCTCTCCAGCAGCCCAGGTCTGGTCGATTCTAGGCAACAACCCCCCAGCCCAAACTTCTGCTCGTCCCTCCACGCAGCCTCACCTTCCCTGGTGTCACCTGGGCCTGGGATGGCCCCGTGGCCATAGGGACACAGCTCCTGGAAGGCAACTGCAAGAGAGAGGAAAGTGGGAATGAAAAGAGAAAGGCAAGTGGGATGTGCTGATGGGATTCTGCTGCCAGCAGCTGAAACGGGCTTTGAAGACCACCACTGCTCCCATGGGGACACACCCACTGCTCCCAGGGGGACACAGCCATCTCTCCATGGGGACACAGCCATCTCTCCATGGGGACACATCCACTGTTCCCATGGGGACACAGCCACCACTGCTCCCATGGGGACACAGCCACTGCTCCCAGGGGGACACAGCCATCCCTCTTCCATGGGACACCCACCACTCCCATGGGGACACAGCCTTCTCTCCACGGGGACACACCCACTGCTCCCATGGGGACACAACTATCCCTCTCCCATGGGGACACACCCATCCCTCTCCCATGGAGACACAGCCATCTCTCCATGTGGACACATCCACTGCTCCCATGGGGACACAGCCACCACTGCTCCCATGGGGACACCCACCACTCCAATGGGGACACATCCACTGCTCCCAGGTCGTACCGTTCCCCTCCTGGGGGCACAGCTCGCAGGGGTCTCCCCAGCCCTCCCCGGGCATTTTGCTGCAGCAGCACCGAGCCTTGGTGGTGTTGAAGGCCTTGGGCACCGAGCACTTCCCGTTGTCGAAGCGAGTGAAGCAGAAGCTCTGGCGAGTGTCTGGGGGAGGATGGGGACGTGCCAGGGTCAGGGAGATTGCCGGGAATTTGTGCGGGAATTCCGGGAATCGGGCACTGACCGAAGCAGCGGCGGCCGTTGTCGGACAGCACGAAGCCCGGGGGACACACGCACTGGAAGCTGCCGGGGGTGTTGGTGCACGTCCCAAAGAGGCAGATGTTGGGCTCCTCTTCGCACTCGTTGATGTCTGGGAGCAGCAGGGACACAGCCAGGGGTCATTAGAACAGCTGAGGGGGGTGGACACCCCCCCTGCCCCACCCCACAGCCCACCCGCAGGGAAAACGGGCACAGCAACACCCCCGAGCCTCCCGTGCCACCGAGCCGGGCTTGCCCGGCTCCCAGCAGGGCTTTGGGGGTGCTGGGGTGCCCTGGACCCCTCGGGAAGGACAGGCTGGGCTGTGCAGGGGCCGTGCTGGGGGCACAGAGCCGGCCTCACCAATGCAGTTGTCGTTCTGCACCTCGTAGCCAGGGGGGCAGATGCAGCGGAAGGAGCCCTCCAGGTTCTGGCAGGTGCCTGGGGAGCACGTCCCGGGCAGGCTCACGCACTCGTTGATGTCTGGAGAGGGGAAAACAGCCAGGGGTGGTGTTGAGGTGAACACCCCATGTGTGGAGACACAAGGCTTGACCCCATTTCAGATTTGTTATGTTATATATGATACTAAAATACTACACTAAAACTATACTAAAAGAACAGAGAGAAAAGAAAGATCAGAAGGCTACAAAGAACAAGAATAGAATAGAATAGAATAGAATAGAATAGAATAGAATAGAATGGAATGGAATGGAATGGAATGGAATGGAATAGAATAGAATAGAATAGAATAGAATAGAATAGAATAGAATAGAATAGAATAGAATAGAATAGAATGCACAACAAAATCCTGTGACTGCTCACAGCCTCAGGTGGCTGTGGTTGGCCATCAATTGAAAACAATCCACGTGGAGCAATGGATGATGAACCTGTTGCATCCCACAGCAGCACACAGTTATTGTTTACATTTCTTTCCTGAGGCTCCCAGCTCCTCAGGAGGGGAAAAATCCTAGGAAAGGATTTTTAATAAAATGTCATAGCTACAGGGGTGGGGTCTGGGCTCTGCTCTGAGCACCTGGGGGTGCACCAGGCCCTGGTTTCCCCCAAAGGTGACAGGGAACAGGGGAAATATTTCCAGGATGGTTCCCAGGGCATCCCTGGTGGGACTTTAGGGCATGGACAGGACTTTTGTCCCACTGCCTGCAGGTCCCAACATGTGAGAGGACAGGTCTGGAGGGAGGTGGAGGCAGGGAGGGAGCAGTCCAGCTTCCCAGGGGCATTTCAACAGCAGGCTTTGCTTCCAGGGGACTTGTGGGTGCTCCTGGAGAATGCCACCGCTGGGACCAGCTTGGGGACCTCATGGGCAGCACCAGCCGGGCCAGAGGAGCGGACACTGGAGGGGACATTGGAGTGGGCACTGAAGGGGACACTGGAGTGGGAACTGAAGGGGACACTGGAGTGGGCAGTGGAGTGGACACTGGAGTGGACACGAGTGGACACTGGCGTGGGCACTGGAGTGCGAACTGAAGGGGACACTGAAGGGGACACTGGAGTGGACACTGGAGCAGACGCCAGAGTGGGCATTGGAGCGGGCACTGAAGTGGACACTGGAGTGGACACAAGCAGGCACTGGAGTGGACACTGGAGTGGGCACTGGAGTGGACACTGGTGTGGACAATGGAGTGGGCACTGGAGCAGACACTGGAGTGGACACGAGTGGACACTGGCGTGGGCACTGGAGTGGGAACTGAAGGGGACACTGAAGGGGACACTGGAGTGGACACTGGAGTGGACACAAGTGGACACTGCAGTGGACACCAGAGCAGACACTGGAGGGGACACTGGAGCGGGCACTGGAGTGGACACTGGAGCAGACACCAGAGTGGGCATTGGAGCGGGCACTGAAGTGGACACTGGAGTGGACACAAGTGGGCACTGGAGTGGACACCGGAGCGGACACTGGAGTGGACACTGCAGTGGACACCGGAGCAGACACTGAAGGGGACACTGCAGTGGACACAAGCGGGCACTGAAGGGGACACTGGAGCAGACACTGGAGTGGGCACTGGAGTGGACACGAGCAGACACTGGAGTGGACACTGGAGCGGACACTGGAGTGGGCACTGGAGTGGGAACTGAAGGGGACACTGAAGGGGACACTGCAGTGGACACTGGAGCGGGCACTGAAGTGGACACTGGAGTGGACACGAATGGACACTGAAGTGGGGACACTGCAGTGGACACGAGCGGGCACTCACCCACGCAGTTCTTGCCGTCGGGCGTGCGGTCGTAGCCCTCCTGGCACAGGCACTGGAAGGAGCCCACGCTGTTGATGCACTGCCCGTTCCTGCACACCTGCCCCACCAGCGACGAGCACTCGTCCACGTCTGCGCAGAGCCACGGCAAGAGCGTCAGGTGCCACCTGCGGCCACCCCGGCCCGGTGAGCCCGGTGAGCCCGGTGTCCCCGGGGCCCGGGGACTCACCCATGCAGTCGTTGTTGTGGGTGAGCTCGAAGCCCGGGAAGCACAGGCAGTTGTAGGAGCCCACGGTGTTCTTGCAGGTCCCGTTGCCGCAGGGCTGCCGGTCACACTCGTCGATGTCTGCGGGGACGAGGACACGCCTGAGAGGACAGGTGGTGGCAGGGCACAGGGACAGCCTGGAGGGACACTCGGCTGTCCTTGGCAGCGGTCTGGAGTGGCACTTGTGTCCCTCTGGAGTGGCACTGACCAGGGGAGTGACCTGAGTGTGACACTGACCCAGGGGATGTGACACTGACCCAGGGTGGATGACACTGACTCAGGGTGGGTGACACTGACTGGGGGGGTGACTCTGACCCAGGCGGGTGACACTGACACAGGATGGGTGACACTGACCCAGGGGGGTGACACTGACCCAGGTGGGTGTGACACTGAACCAGGATGGGTAACACTGACTGGGGGGAGTGACACTGACCCAGGTGGGTGACACTGAACCAGGATGGGTGACACTGACTGGGGGGAGTGACACTGACCCAGGGGGTGTGACACTGATCTGAGTAGGGTGACACTGACCTAAGGTGGGTGACACTGACCCAGAGTGGCTGACACTGACCCATGTGGGTGACACTGACCCAGGGTGGGTGACACTGACCCAGAGTGGCTGACACTGACCCAGGATGGGTGACACTGACCCGAGCAGGATGACACTGACCCAGGCGGGTGACACTGACCCAGGGTGGGTGACACTGACTGGGGGGGTGACTCTGACTCGGGGTGGGTGACACTGACTCAGGGTGGATGACACTGACCCAGGGTGGATGACACTGACTCAGGGTGGGTGACACTGACTCAGGGTGGATGACACTGACCCAGGGTGGATGACACTGACTGGGGGGGTGACTCTGACTCGGGGTGGGTGACACTGACTCAGGGTGGATGACACTGACCCAGGGTGGATGACACTGACTGGGGGGGTGACTCTGACCCAGGCGGGTGACACTGACACAGGATGGTCAGGGTGGGTGACACTGACTGGGGGGGTGACTCTGACTCGGGGTGGGTGACACTGACTCAGGGTGGATGACACTGACCCAGGGTGGATGACACTGACTGGGGGGGTGACTCTGACTGGAGTGGGGTAACATTGACCCAGGGTGGCTGACACTGACCTGGGATGCCTGACACTGACCCAGGATGGGTGACACTGACCTGGGATGCCTGACACTGACCCAGGATGGGTGACATTGACCCGGGGGATGTGACACTGACCCAGGGGGTGTGACACTGATCTGAGTAGGGTGACACTGACCTAAGGTGGGTGACACTGACCCAGAGTGGCTGACACTGACCCAGGGTGGGTGACACTGACCCAGGTGGGTGTGACACTGACCCGGGAGATGTGACACTGACCCAGGTGGGTGTGACACTGACCCGGGGTGGGTGACACTGACCCAGGATGGGTGACACTGACTGGGGGGAGCGATACTGACCTGAGCAGGGTGACACTGCCCCAGGATGGGTGACACTGACTGGGGGGCTGACACTGACTGGGGGGAGCGATACTGACCTGAGCAGGGTGACACTGCCCCAGGATGGGTGACACTGACTGGGGGGCTGACACTGACTGGGGGGAGCGATACTGACCTGAGCAGGGTGACACTGCCCCAGGATGGGTGACACTGACTGGGGGGCTGACACTGACTGGGGGGAGCGATACTGACCTGAGCAGGGTGACACTGCCCCAGGATGGGTGACACTGACTGGGGGGCTGACACTGACTGGGGGGAGTGATACTGACCTGAGCAGGGTGACACTGACCCAGGATGGGTGACACTGACCCAGGATGGGTGACACTGACCCGGGGGATGTGACACTGACCCGGGGTGGGTGACACTGAGCCAGGTGGGTGTGACACTGACCCGGGGGGGTGACACTGACCCATGCACATGGTCTGCTCCCCGGTGGCCTTGAAGCCGTTGTGGCAGATGCACACGTAGCTGCCCTCGGTGTCCACGCAGTCGCCGTGGCTGCACACGTTGGGGATCTCCTGGCACTCGTTGCGACCTGGAACGGAGCCCAGGGGTGCAGGTGAGGGGCAGGGAGGGACAGCTGGGGACAGCAGAGCCCTGCCCACGGTTTTGGAGAGCTGACTTGACAGACAATGAGATTTATGGGCTGTCATCCCCGAAAAAAGGGGGCTGTGATCAGGTGTGGGCTCAGGTGTGTCCCAGGTGTGGGCTCAGGTGTGTCCCAGGTGTGTTTCTCAGGTGTGAGTGGCTCAGGTATGACAAGGTGTGTCCCAGATGTGTTTTCCAAGTGTGCCCAGGTGTGATCAGGTATGACTGAGTGTGGACCAGGTGTGTCCCAGGTATGTTTTTCAGATGTGAGTGGCTCAGGTATGACCAGATGTGATCAGGTGTGGCCCACGTGTGTTTCCCAGGTGCGATCAGGTGTGTCCCAGGTGTTCCCAGGTGTGTCCCAGGTGTGTCCCATCTGTGCCCAAGTGTTTCCCAGCTGTGCCCAGGTGTGTTCCAGGTGTGTCCCAGGACTGCCCAGCTGTGCCCAGGAGTGCCCAGCTGTGCCTGGTGTGTCCCAGGTGTTTCCCAGGTGTGTCCCAGCTGTACCCAGGTGTGTCCCAGCTATGCCCTGGTGTGTCCCAGGTGTGTCCCAGGTGTGCCCAGGTGTGTCCCAGCTGTGTCCCAGGAGTGCCCAGCTGTGTCCCAGGTGTGTACCAGCTGTGCCCAGGTGTGTCCCAGGTGTATCCCAGCTGTGCCCAGCTGTGCTAGTAGTGCCCAGGTGTGTCCCAGCTGTGCCCGGTGTGTCCCAGGTGTGCCCAGGTGTGTCCCAGGTGTGTCCCAACCGTGCCCAGGTGTGTCCCAGCTGTGTCCCAGCTGTGCCCAGCTGTGCCCAGCTGTGTCCCTTACCCACGCAGGCGCCCCCCGGGGACAGGCGGTAGCCGGTGGCGCACTCGCAGCGGAAGCTGCCCGGGATGTTGACGCACTCGGCGTGCCGCTGGCACAGCGTCTCCCCGCTGCTGCACTCGTCGATGTCTGCGGGGACAGAGGGCACAGGGACACCGGGATGGCACCGGGATCGGCCGAGGCGGGGCTGGGATCGCTGCTCCCGGCGGCAACAGCCCGGGATCAGGGAGCGCAACTCCCGGTGCTGTGCAGGACATCCCGAAAATCCCCCCTGGAGCTGCCGGCAGCCCCGGGGCCGTGTCCCGGGGCCGTGTCCCGGGGCGGGAGGAGCGGAATTCCCGCGGGGAGGCGGTACCTTCGCAGATGAGCAGGATGTTGTTGTAGCTGAAGCCGATGGGGCACTCGCAGCGGAAGCTCCCGATCTGGTTGATGCACACGCCGTTGGTGCAGATCGCGGGGATCTCGCTGCACTCATCGATATCTGCAGCAATGCAACATCAGCGTCCCAGCCCTGCATCCCGGGAATGCTCCACAGCATCAGCGTCCCAACCCTGCATCCCGGGAGTGCTCCACAGCATCAGCATCCCGGGAATGCTCCACAGCATCAGCATCCCAGCCCTGCATCCCGGGAGTGCTCCACAACATCAGCATCCCACTCTTGCATCCCGGGAATGCTCCACAGCATCAGCATCCTCCCCTCTACATCCCGGGAATGCTCCTCAACATCAGCATCCCACTCTGCATCCCGGGAATGCTCCACAGCATCAGCATCCCCCTCTGCACCCCGGGAATACTCCACAACATCAGCATCCCACCCTCTGCATCCCGGGAATGCGGGGAGGTGTGCATCCCGGGAATGCTCCACAGCATCAGCATCCCCCTCTGCACCCCGGGAATGCTCCTCAACATCAGCATCCCACCCCCTGCATCCCGGGAATGCTGGGAGGTGCTGGGAGAACACTCCCATTCCCCTCAGAGGATCGGAAGGAAAGGGCCACCAGGAAAGCAGCCCTTGGGTGGTGCAGGATGAACCCTGCAGGTCATGCCAGCCTCGGGCTGCTCCACAGAATTTTGGGAATGCAGCAGAGCCACACAGGTTTTCGGAGTGTGGCATTGCTGACACGTTTTGGGAAGGCTCCCCCCAGGACGTGGCCCCTGCTTGCTCTGAGTGTGTCCCTGCAGTGACAGCTCAGCTCTGGGAGCAGGCTGGAAATGGGGAGCCCAGGGGGTCACTGGAATACTGGGATGGCTCTGGGGTCCCACCACCAACTCCCTGTGTCACACTTCCTTCCCAGGAAGAGAAGATTAACTCATCTCCACCACTTCAGTCCCTGCTGAAGCCTCTTCTCCTTGCCCCAGCCTTTAATTCCCTAAGTGGGAAGCTCCCAGGGGATGACAGGAGCAGCCCTGGCCCGGTGGGGATGCAGGATTCACTCACCAATGGGCTTCCCTGTGTGGATGTCAATGATGAATCCGGGGGCTTGGTTCCCACACAGGATCTGGTACTCGGCTGGAAAGGGAACACCGAGGTCATGGCAGTGCCCAGGGAGGGCCAAGAGTGCTGGAATTGGGGTCTGAGGGGCACCAGGGGCTCCCCACTGTGCTTGGAGTCACCTCCAGAGCGCTCCCCTTTCTCTCCATTTACTTTGTTGGTGTCCATGCCCCAAATTTCATGGGAAAATGGGAAAACTGACAGGACAGGGATCACACGGGAAGGACTTAGAGTGGGCAGGGGTGGCACAGGGACCCTGTGGGGGCACTTACGGCTGGCAGGGGTGGGACAGGGCTCGCAGGGTTTGTTCCAGGCCTTGCCAATGTTGTAGGAGCAGCAGCACATCTTCTTGGTCATGTTGAAGGACAGCTCGTTCTCACAGGTGTCGTTGTAGTTGCGGTAGCAAACGCTCTTCCTCATGTCTGCAATGGCAGTGCCAGGCTAGGGACAGCCCCGGGAATGGCACTGCCAGCCCTGGGAATGGCACTGCCAGCCCTGGGAGTGGCACTGACAGCCCTGGGAATGGCACTGCCAGCCCCAGGAACAGGAGGACAGATCTCCAAATGGAGCCCAAACCATGCCCAATCTGTCACCCAGAGCAGAGCCCTGAGTGCCACATCCAGCTCTGAATCCCAGCCCCTGTTTCCAGCACTTCTGCTCCATCCCCTTGGCACAGCCCCTCTGGGATGGCAGTGCCAGCCCCCTCCCCAGAGATCTGGACCATTCCCCGTGGATCTGAGCCCTCCCCATGATCCCAGGGCCGTACCCATGCAGTTGTTTCCCCCGTTGACCTGCATGTACTCGGGGGGGCACACGCAGGTGTAGTTGCCCAGGGTGTTGTAGCAGGTGCCAGGGCCGCAGATCCCGATGTGGGCAGAGCACTCATCAATGTCTGTGGGAGAAAGGAGGCAGAGCACTGGGCACGGGTGGAGAAGGGCACGAGGTGGGCCGGGGGTAGGCTTGGCACGAGGGACGGGTGGGCTTGGCACAGGGACAGGTTTGTGATGAGGGAATGTGGAAAGGAAAGGGGAAGGGGTGTTCCCAACCATTCCTGGGCAGCTGGTACACACGGTCATCACCTTGGCACACACACAGGGTGCCACCCCTGTGTCCCCAGCCCCTGGAGCAGGTGCCACCCCCTAGAGCAGTTGCCACCCCTGTGTCCCCAGCCCCTGAAGCAGACGCCACCCCTGTCCCCAGCCCCTGGAGCAGGTGCCACCCCCTGTCCCCAGCCCCTGGAGCAGGTGCCACCCCCTGTCCCCAGCCCCTGGAGCAGGTGCCATGCCCTGTCCCCAGGCCCTGGAGCAGGTGACAGCCCTGTCCCCAGCCCTGTCCCCAGCCCGGTACCCTCGCAGATGCGGGTGTCCTCGTTGAGGTAGTAGCCCAGGGGACACTCGCACTGGAAGCTGCCGAAGGTGTTGACGCAGTTCCCGCCCTGGCACAGCCCTGGCAGCTCCTGGCACTCGTCAATGTCTGAGGGGGGACAGCAGTGGGACATTTTCACTGCCTGTGCCACCCCCCAGCTGCAGAGAGCTCAGCCCAGCCCCGCTCTGGATCGTGGCTGGAGCACGGCCAAGGAAAGCCACACTTTGTGCCCATCACTTGGGGGTCAGCGGGCACCCAGGGCCATGGCACAGAGTGTGCCACAGGGCTGGCATCCCCCAGCACCCCGTCCCTCAGGAAGGGCCGTGGGAACAGGGATAACTCACCCTCCAGGATGACAGTGATGGGGTTGGGCCGGAAGCCTTCTCCCCCAGGGCACAAGGTCTTGTACTCGGCTGTGGAGAGAGGCAGCAGGGGGGCTGAGGGGCTCCCGGGGAGCAGCAGGGTGGGCAGAGCCAGGAGAAGCCCAGCAGGAGCAGCCGTGGGGCTGTGGCCAGGGCTGGCATGGAGCAGCTCCATCCCCATCCCCAACTGAGCCATCCCACAGCCTGCCCTCCCTTCCAAGGGGGAATTCCACATTCCCCCCCTCCAGCCCACTGCACTGGCAATGAAAGATCCCAGCCTGGCCTACCCCACCCCACTTCACCACTGCCCTGCCCTGGATGGATGGATGGATGGATGGATGGATGGATGGATGGATGGATAGATGGATGGATGGAGCAGCACATCCCAAACTCAGCACCTCCAATCCGGGTCGAGGATCCACCAGGGAGCCACCCTGCCCCTCTTCCCTCCTTCCCAGCCGTGTCCATGCCAAGCTTGTCCCCACTCACTGGTGTTGGCTGGAGGGCAGAGCTCGCAGGGGTTGCCCCAGGCACGGCCCAGGGAGCAGCAGCAGGAGGCACGAGTGACCCCCACGCCGATCTCGGCGCTGCAGGAGATGCCCCCATCCCCTCGGTCCTGCGTGTCCAGGAAGCAATTCCCAACGCGGGTATCTGCACAGACACGGCTGCTGAGCAAAGGAACCTCCCCTGCAAAGCTTGGGGTGTGGGAGGAATGGAATCATGGGATGGTTTGGGATGGAGGGGACCTTGGAGGTGACCCCGTTCCACACCCTGCCAGGGGCGGCAAAAATGGGAAATCTTCCAGGGATAAGGAAAAATTGGGGGTTACTGGGGCCCTGTGCTGGGAGCTGGGTGGGATCACGGAATCCCAAATGGTCTGGGCTGAAGGGAATCTGAAGGATCATCCTGGCCATGGGCAGGGACACCTTCCACTGTCCCAGGCTGCTCCAAGCCCCATCCAACCTGGCCTGGGGCACTGCCAGGGAATAAACACAGCTCCAGAGCTGCCCTGGAGCAACATGGCTGCAACAAGAGGGGCACCCACAGCGGTGACAGTGACACCAGCTGGGGCACACTCCACAGCACGTGGGTTCTGCTGCTGCTGCAGGGTTAAACCCACGGGGGACAGCCAGGCAGGGACAGCCAGGCAGGGACAGCCAGGCAGGGACAGCCACCCTCGTTGTGCCCAGCTCCAGCTACACAGGACCAGCAAGAAGGACCCCGAGGGTGGGTCTGGGTGGGTGGGAGGTCGCACTCACCCACACAGCCCACCCCCGTGGGGTTCAGCTCGAAGTCCTGGGGGCAGTTGCACAGGTAGCTGCCCGGGGTGTTGACGCAGAGCCCGTTGATGCAGTTCACAGGGTCTGCACACTCGTTGATGTCTGAAAGGACGGACGGACGGACGCTGAGGATCAAGGTGAGCACCGCCGGGAGAGCCCAGCCCAGCCTGAGCTCTGTGCCCAGGTGTACCCCCAGCCCACGGTGCCCCCTCCAGAACAGCCCCTGCCCTGTGCCACCCCCAGCTCCCTGCCCAGAGGAGGAGCAGAGCCACCCTCAGCAGCAAAGACACCTCGGGGACCACGGATTGCTTTGAGGGTGCCATGGATGGTGCCAGCTGAGCCCAGCAGAGCCCAGAGCAGCAGCCAGGAGCCCTGACCTGTGCAGTTGCCCCCACTCCTGTCCAGCTCATATCCATCGTCGCAGGCGCAGCGGAACATCCCGGGCAGGTTCTGGCAGGTGCCAAAGACACAGATGTTCTGGAAGGTGCATTCGTCAATGTCTGCAAAACAGGGACAGCTGGGGACAGGCTGTGGCAGGGTGAGGGCCAGGACAGGCTGCTCCTGCTCCCACCTCCTCCCAGCTGTGACCAACCCAGCCCAGGATGGTCCTGGTGCCATCTGAGACAATCTCCTGGGGGAGCTGGGCTGCCTCTCCCACTGTCTCCCCTCAGCCCTGCTCTCCTGGCTTTCCATTCTGCAGGAATCCAGGCTCAGCCCAACCTCTCTGAAGGCTGGGGACCGAGCGCTGCCAGGGGCAGAGGTGGCACCTCAGTAGCCTGGCACCAGCAGGAGGCTCAGGAGGTGCCAGCAGAGGACAGAGAGGGCCAGGAGGGGGTCAGAGCCCTGGCACTCACCCTGGCAGGCCTTGCTGTCCTCGGTGGGGTTGAAGCCCATCTCGCACTCGCAGCGGTACCCGCCGGGGGCGTTGAGGCACTGCCCGTTCTCACACAGGTTCACGTTGTCTGCACACTCATCCACGTCTGCAGGGAGGGACACGGGGCTGGGGGCTGCCCTCAGCCAGCCCAGGGGACCCCAGGAGCGTGCCCACCCTCTGCTGGGAGGCTGCAATTGCTGCCATGGCCCTGAGCCTCCCCAGAGCCCTGTGAGGAGGTGCTGGATCCTGCTGGAGGTGTCTGTGGCACAGACTGGGCTGCCCTGTGCTTCGGGGAGCCCCAGCCAAGGCAGCACCCAGCAAGGCTGGTGGCTCAGAGGGGCTGTCCTGGATTGAAAGGTTATGTGTGTGCTCTACTTCCTCTGTCAGAGGTGGGACAGGTATCTCCTGTTCACTGGGCAGTTTTCTTTATCTCTTCCACAGCCAATCCTCCCTCCAGGAGATCTCTGCTGTTAATGGGCCATTAATTGTTAATTATCTTCTGTTAACAGGCCAGTGAGTGTCAGTGCATGGCTGATAAAATCCCATCATCCCACTGGGAGATGCTCCGCCCAGGGGAGGAGCCAAGCATTCCTTCCTGGATATAATCGGAGATTTTGGGATACCACAGCAGTCTTTTCCCACTGCATTCCCAGAGGAGCAGCTTTCTCCTGCCCTGCATTCCCAGAGGAAGAGCAGGCCCATCTCCAGCAGCCCTGGAGCTCCAGAGGAAAACTCCAGCCTTGTGCAGGATCCCTGCTCCAGCAGAAGCACAGCTGGCACTGCAGGAGGGCTGAGCCCCCATGGGATGGGACTGTGCCACCACCCTGACCCACAGGGCTCAGCTCCTGCTCTGACTCTGTCAGCAGCTGTGGGTTTTTTTGTTTGCACCATTACATTGGTATTTTTAATTTCCCTAGTAAAGACCTGTTATTCCTACTCCCACATCTTTACACTTAATTTCAAAATTATAACAGCTCGGAGGGGAGGGGGTTTACATTTCCCATTTCAGTGGAGTTTCCTGCCTTCCTTAAGCAGACACCTGTCTTTTCAGGCCAGGAGAGGGGCTGGTCCCTGTGCCAGCCCCGCTGCTGTGCCAGCCTGGGCTCACCTGAGCAGGAGAAGCCGTCGCCGTTGAAGCCGTCGCGGCAGGCGCAGCGGTAGGAGCCAGGAGTGTTCACACAGTTGGCGTTCAGGTTGCACTTGTGCTCCTCAGTTGCACACTCATCCAGGTCTAGGCATGGATTACAGCCTGTCAGTGCCTGGCTTGGCTAGTCTGGAATGAATCTTGGGCTCCTGGATGAGCTGGGCTCACTTATGGAAGCACGGAGTGGTTTGGGTGGGAAGGACCTTAAGGATCATCCAGTTCCAGCCCCAGGGATGCCTTCCACTAGCCCAGGTTGCTCCAAGCCCATCCAGCCTGGCCTTTTCTCAGCTTTGCCCTGAGCCTGAGCAGCTGCAGGTGCACACAAATGGCCCAGGAGACTGTCTGGGCACTTGGAGGTTTCAATACATCCCTGAGAGCCTCTATGGCCACCACCAGGACACTGCCAAGCCACTGACCATGTCACCAACTACCACACCTGCACGGCTTCAAACCCCTCCAGGGATGGTGACTGGACACTTCCACTAAGACATTTTCCCAACATCCAACCTAAACCCCCCCTGGCCCATCCTGAGGCCGTTCCCTGTTGTCCTGCTGTCCCCTGGGAGCAGAGCCCGACCCCCAGCTGTCCCCTCTGAGCCTCCTTTCCTCCAGGCTGAAGCCCTCCATCCCCTGGGGCTGCAGTGGAAGCTCAGCCCAGCCTCTCAGGTGCCTGCAGAGCAGCTGCAGAGGGATGTCCCTGCCCTGGGGGGGGACTCACCGTTGCACTTGAGCCCGTCCCCGAGCCAGCCCGAGCGACACTTGCACTTGAAGCTGCCGGGGACGTTGATGCAGGACGCGTGCATGTCGCAGTTGTGGGCCCCAATCTCACACTCATCGATGTCTGCAGAGGAAGGACAGCAGGGCTGGCACAGCTCAGCTCCCCCAGCACAGCAGGGCTGAGCCCGCTCCGGGGTTTGGGCAGCTCCCAGGGCTTTGGGGGAGAGGCTGCCTGGGGTTGGACCCTGCAGCTGAGGAGCTCAGCCCTGGCAAACGTGCAGGAGGAAGGGCAAGCTCCTGGCTTGGCCATCACCTGAGATGATGGCCCACAAGGTGGGTCCTGGCCCTCTGTGCCTGCCCAGCACATCCCACAGCATCCCCACCCAGCACCCCGGGGTGGGGCTCTCTCCAGGGCAGCTCTGGGAGAGGTTTCCCCGTTTTTTTCTCACTGGCAGCCCCAGCTGCAGGTGTGCTGAGCTCCCACCTGTGCAGCCTGTGGTTCCCTTCTTGACGAAGTAGCCCAGCTGGCAGTGGCAGATGAAGGAGCCCTTGGTGTTCTCACACTCGCCGTGCAGGCAGATGTTGGGGTTGAGGTCGCACTCGTTCACATCTGCAGGACAAAACCACCCATGGGACACCCCGAGGACCCCAGCATGGCTCTGGGGACAGGAGGCAGAGCTGGGACACGCCCAGGGCACAGCCAGGGCCTCACCAATGCAGGTCTTCATGTCCAGGGATGCCATGAAGCCGTCGAAGCAGAGGCAGCGGTACTCCCCGGGGATGTTGGTGCACTGCCCCCCGTCACAGATCTCAGGGTTATCCTCACACTCATCAATATCTGCACAGGGGAGACCATGGCAAGGTCAACACAGTGAAAGCTGGAGCACGAGGGGGAAGGAGGAAACCCCAGATTGTGAGCGGCTGGATGTGGCAGTGCAAAGCAAAGTTATCCACCCAGGAAAATCCTTTCTCTGGAAGGGACTTAAAAATGAGACCCCCCTCATCCTGGAGCCAGCTGTGGGGGACACAGAGGTCCCCTAATCCTGGAGCCAGCTGTGGGGGACACAGAGGTCCCCTCATCCTGGAACCAGCTGTGGGTGACACAGAGGTCCCTGGGGCAGCAAGAGCCAAGGTGGGCACTGACCTGCACAGGACCTCTTGTCTGGCATCAGGGCGTAGCCTTCGCTGCAGCTGCACTCGTAGCTGCCCTCGGAGTTGGAGCAGTGGGTGTCACAGCCCCCGTTGGTGATGGTGCACTCGTCGATGTCTGGGGACAGCCACACAGCGCCCTGAGCTGGGAGGGACCCACAGGACCCAGCCCAGCCCCTGGCACTGCACAGACGAGGGTCCAGCAGCAGTTTGGGTGGGAGAAGAGGACACAAATCTCCCCCAGCCACAAGAGAAGCCCTCATCCCTTCTGCCCAGCCCCTGGCAGTGCCCTCGCAGCCGGTGACAGTCCCTGTGCCAGCAGCACAGATCTGGCTGTCACGCAGCCAGGACATTCCCTGTTTGCCTGTGTGTCTGGGAGGGTTCTGGGCTCACCCCGAGGGGCTGGAGGGAGCCTTTGGAGCAGCACTCACCGACACAGCCCTGCCTGTCTGGCGTGGCCTGGAAGCCCGAGTCGCAGGAGCACTGGTAGGTGCCGATGACGTTGACGCAGCGCCCGTTGCGACAGAGGTTGTCACTGAGGGAGCACTCGTTGATGTCTGAGGGGACAAGAGCACTTGGAGCAGCCAGCCCTGCTCAGGCCATCACCTGGTGCCCACCCCTGGGTGTCCAAACTGTGTCCAAACTGGGATTTGTCCCACTGGTCCAAAGGGAGCAGCAAAAGGAACAACACCAATGCAACAAAACGCTGGGAATGAGCTCGGTCTGGAGGAGATCTTGGTCTTGGAATGAGCTCCTCTTGGACGAGCTGGACACACTTAACATGGAAACACAGAAGGCTTTGGGTGGGAGGGACCTGAAGGATCATCCACGGGCAGGGACACAGGCAGGGACACTTCCCCTAGCCCAGGCTGCTCCGAGCCCGTGGCCACCCCCAGGGATGGGACGTACAGGACAGGCAGGAGATACCCACAGCCCTGCAGGAGCTCTCCCTGTGGGCATTCCCTGCTGTGCCCCTCACCAATGCAGGTGTTGCCCTCGGCTGTCAGCTCGTGCCCAGGGGGGCAGATGCACTCGAAGCTGCCGTCGGTGTTCATGCAGATCCCGCCCCGGCACAGCAGCGGGTCCCGCTCGCACTCGTTGATGTCTGCACGGGAAAATGGGATTGGTGCCTTCCAGAGGCTTCTCCACTGGAGGAACATCCCAAAACGGGGATATCACAGGGTTAACAGGGCAGGGAGTGCAGGGCTGGGATCCCAGAACAGGGAATATCACACAGGTAACAGGGCAGGGAAAGCTGGGCTGGGATCCCAGAACAGGGAATATCACAGGGTTAACAGGGAATATCACAGGGTTAACAGGACAGGGAGTGCAGGGCTGGGATCCCAGAACAGGGAATATCACACAGGTAACAGGGCAGGGAAAGCTGGGCTTGGCTCCAGTGGTCTCCTGGTTGGAGTCTGAGCGTTGGGAAATCCCAGCTCGTGCCTCGACCTCAGCAGAGCCCAAGAGCCCCTCAGTGACAGCACAGAAAGGGACTGAGGTTGGATGTATTTTTAAAAACTCATTTCCCTCTCATGTTTATTTTCCTGGCTCCAGCACTGAAGTTAAGAACGGGTTATTTTCCCTGACTTGGCTAAAACACTGATGAGATTTTCAGGTAAAGAGGGCTGAGATAGACCTGAAAATGGGGGTGACAGGGCCCTACCAAACACCCCCAGCTCAGTGGGAGCCTGTTCCTGGTGAATCCCAGGCTGCTGTCCCCTGCCCAGGGTGGAAAGAATTCCTCCCTCAGGAGGCTGAAGCCAAATTCTTTTGCCAAACACAGGTGGGAAGAAGTTAAGCCTTGACCACAGGGAATGACAAAACGTCACCACCCCCTTTGGGGTGAGATGACTCAGCTCCCTGTCACCCAGAAAAAAAAGGATAAAGTGGAATTGGACAAGTAAGAGTGAGCATTAAATTTCAAAAAAGAACAATGAAAATTATATCCTTCTGTAAAGATTAGAAATACAACTACTGCAAGAAGGCAGCAGGTCATGGGTGAGGACTGTGACATCCCCAGGTCCCAGAAATGGAGCAGGAGGAGGAGGATGATCAGTGGGAGCTGTGGAAACCCACGCTACAAAGTGTATGGAAAAGACAAAGCCCCTGCCAGGGGCAGTGATTTATTTTAAAGAGCACAGAGAATAAAACATGAAAAATAAATAGATGGTGTTGAATCATAGCTTGAAGTGGTTTGAAAGTCCAAGCCAAAGCAGAATATTAAGAGCAGGTCAGTGAGACAAGTGAGTCTGGCTGGACAGAGGACAGGAACGTGGAATGCCAGGAATTAGAGGACAGCAGGAGTCTGGCTGAGCTGTTGGAGACAAACTGAGGTACTGAGGTCACTGACGGGATTTTTTAAGCTCCAAACAAGAATTATTCAATTGAAAACAGATGAGACTCTGACAGAATAAAAACAAGCCTTGGGCAGACAGGACGAGCTGTAAGGGACTGTGTGAGGATACAGGGAGGTCAAAAGGGCAGGTGAAGGAAGGGAGCCCCTAGAACTGAGAGGGTGGAAGGGGGCACAGGGTGTCCCAGAGCTCCCCGTGGAAGGCTTGATCCGTGCAGTGTTTGGGGAGCTGGGCAGCTCTGGCAGGGCCCTGCCCTGTGCCAGGAGGGTCAGCAGGTGCCCTGGGGGGCTCAGCCTCGCTCACCCATGCAGTTCTTCATCATCATGAAGCCGCTCTCGTAGCCCTCGAAGCACTCGCACTCGAAGCTGCCCGGGGTGTTCACGCACGAGCCGTGCCCGCACAGGTCGGGGGAGATGCGGCACTCGTCGATGTCTGGGGACAAGGACAGGCACTGGGGCAGGGCAGGCCACCAGCAGGGCCAGAGCCGGTGCTGGGCTGCCTGCAGGCACAGCAGGGACCAGCAGGAAAAGGAATTCCCCATCCTTGGAGAGGCTGCGCCCTAGGGCGGGGCAGAGCCTTCACCCCACAGGCAGGAGGAGCCTTGTGGAGTCATGGAATTCCAGGATGGTTTGGGTTGGAGGGACCTTCAATCCCACCCAGTGCCACCCCTGCCGTGGGCAGGGACACCTCCCACTGTCCCAGGCTGCTCCAAACCCCGTCCACCCCAGCCTTGATGCTCCTGCTTATGGTCCTCCCCACAGCAGGGACCCCTCTGGGCATCCCCATCGCTCTGAGCCCCCCAAAAGCAGCAGCAACAACCCAGAGGGGGGGGTCCCTCACCTGTGCAGTTCCTCTCCTCAGCATCCAGAGCAAATCCATTGCCGCAGATGCACCTGAAGCTGCCGATGGTGTTCCTGCAGGTGCCGTGCGTGCAGAGCCCGGAGAACACCTTGCACTCGTTCACATCTGAGGGGGGGGGGCACCAGAGACACCCAGCGAGGTGGGTGGGCTCTCCGTGAAACCCCCCCTCATCTCGAGCTGAGAGCCCCCCTGAGCCCGAGCAGAGCACCCCTCACCTTTGTAGAAGGGCCGCCCCGAGAGCACGTCGCCGCGGTTGGCGAAGCCGGGCCCGCGGGGACACAGCGCCTTGAACTCGGCGGAGCCGGCGCGGGGACACTCCTCGCAGTCGGAGCCCCAGGCCGAGCCCACGGAGCAGCAGCACATGTCCATGCGGAATTTCCCGGGCAGGGGCTCCGTGCACTCGTCCTCGTCCCAGCGCATGTAGCACTGCTCCACCCGCACGTCTGGGGACACAGCACACAGCACGGCTTTGCTGCCCGCCACGGCCTCGGGGTTACATTTATCTAAGCCTTCGGATGTTTATGTTCTTGTAACGAGCTTTCTCACAAGCTTCATGTAAATAATTTATTGTTTTGAGTTCTTTTGTGGAGGAGAAATTTGATGGACGGTTGGTTGGTTTGTCCAGTGTCATTGGAGAGGTGGCACTGTCGCCCTCCAATCCACTGTCACTTTTGAAAGTCTGTCAGTGTTGGATCAGAAATCTAAAATTCTCTTTTTACCCTTGAGAGAGCTACGTGTCTGTGTTTTTATTTTGTGTCCTGTAATAACACACGGGCTGGGGGTGGCTTTGGCCGTGGGGTGTTGTGCGTGCCAGCCAGCGAGGGAGAGAGAAATGGCAAGTGTTTCTCACAGTGGTGGCTTGTGAGAATTTTTAGGGAGTTGTAAGTATGTGGTAACTTGTTTTAAGGTGTTTTTCCACAAGAATTATTCAATTGAAATTGGAAATTGAATTATTCAATTGAAATTGAAATTCAGTTGAAAACTTGTTTTCCTGTTCTCCTCAAGGACCGTGTGTGAGAAAGGTGTTTTTTGTTAACTAGCCAATCAAGTGGAATGTATCAGTCTACAAAAACTGAATATTCTTTTGCAATAAACCCTTCTTTTCTCCTCTTGTGTTTGGGTCATTCGTCTGCTCTTGTGTCATTCTTGGTGCAAGGGTGACAGCGTGTTCTCCAACACAGGGGTTAGAAAAGCTTTTTGGGGAGGGCTTCCACAGCATGGACTGCTGGCAACAGGGCCAGAGGATGGAGCTCCACAGAACCCCAGAATTTAGGTTGGAAAAGACCTTTGAGGTCGTGGAGTCCAGCTGTGACCCAAGTGCACCTTGTCACCCAGCCCGTGGCACCGAGTGCCACATCCAGGCTTTCCTTGAACACGGTGCTGCAAGCACAGGTGGCCCCTCCAAAGGGCAGGAGTGTGGCACTGGGTGCCCAGGGGGTTTTTTTGGGGGCTGCTGGGCCATGTCCTTAACCCCTGAGGTTATTTGGCCACTCCTGAAGCCCACCCAAGAAGGACAATGCCGTTACGGGCTGGACTTGGGGACACGAAACTCTGGTTCAGCCGGGAGGTTTTTTTTGGGGTCTTTCAAGTACGACTGAATTCCCAAAAAATTCCTGGTGGGGAGGGAGCAACCGGGAGGGCAGGATGCGGGTGGAGGAGGTGTCCTTACCCACACAGGTCCTGGCAGTGCCATCCAGGGTCAGCCCCTCGGGGCACTCGCAGCGGAAGGAGCCGGCCGAGTTCACGCAGCGCCCGTTGGGGCACACGCCCGGGAACACCTCGCACTCGTTCACGTCTGGGGGGTGGCACAGGGCGAGGGGCGGTGAGGGATGGCACGGGGGCACGGCCAGGGGGGCCTCAGGGGGCTCCTGGAGGAGCTGGGAGGAGCCCAGAGCTGCCCACCTGGCTCCAAGGGGCGACTTACCCAGGAAAACTGGGCAGAAACAGAGCCGGGATCTGGGCACAGACACCCAGACAGACACAGACAGACAGACAGAGGGCCAGAGAGTGGAGATCCCCCCCAAGACTCGGAGAGGCAGGAGAACAAAGCCCACATTGCCAAGAAAAGCAGTTTTCCATTCCTGCAGCTCTTTACCTTCGCAGGTGACCCCCTTCATGCGGGCGTACCCCCGGGGACAGGCGGTGTCTGCAAGGGACAGGGATGTCAGCAAGGAAACCCTTCCAGCTCTCCCGCAGAATCATGGAATACCCAGAGCTGGGGGGGACCCACAGGATCATCCAGCCCAACTCCTGACCCTCCACAGCCCCCCACCAACCCCACCCTGTCCCTGAGAGCGCTGGCAGTGCCCGAGCACCCTCTGGGGATCTTCCCCTGTTCCTGATCTCCATCCCCACTCCAGCATTTCCTCGGGAATGCCCGAGCCTGGCAGAGCCTGGCAGAGCCTGGCAGAGCCTCACCGATCTCGCAGCGCTCGCAGGGGCTGCCCCAGGCTGCCCCCAGGGTGGCACAGCACTCGGATTTCAGCGTGGCCCCGTTGATGTTGACCTCGCAGCGCCCGTCCTGGATGTTGAGCCAGCAGGTGCCCTTCATGCTGTCTGCAGGGACACACGGGGGGCTCAGGGGCTGCTCCGTGCCCCCAGCCCCGGGCTGGAAGCCCTGAGAGGCAGCTGGGAAGAGCTGTCCCTCCCCACTGCTCCTGGGAGTCGCTGATCCCTTTGGATGAGGCTGGTCCCACAAACCAGGCTGGTCCCCAGAGCCTCAAAACCCTTCCAGTGCCACCCGTGCCATGGGGACACCTCCCCTGGTCCCAGGCTGCTCCAGCCCGGCCTTGGGCACTGCCAGGGATCCAGGGGCAGCCAGAGCTGCTGTGGGAATTCCATCCCAGTGCCCCAACACCCTCCCAGGCAGGAATTCCCCCCCAGCACCCCATCCATCGCTGCCCTGTGGAATTCCTGTCCCTGTGCCAGGCCAGGTGACGGTGCGGGGTGACACTGGCAGTGCCACCCGGGCCTGGCAGGAGCTGGCCCTGCTCACCCACGCAGATGGTGCCACTGGGGTCCAGTTTGCTGCCCGGGGAGCACTCGCAGGCGAAGGAGCCGGCGTTGTTCCGGCACAGCCCGTTCACACACGGGTTGGACGTGCACTCGTTGATGTCTGCGGGGACAAGGGACAAGGGGACAAGGGGACAAAGGTCACTGGGGGGTGTGAGAGGGACACGGCCTTGGGGGGGACACAGACTGGAGGAGGTGAGAGCACAGAGAGTGAAGAGTGGTGGGTTTAAATTGGTTTTTGCGTTGTTTTAAATGGAAAAATAAAATTTAAAATATGTTAAAATATACAAATAATATATAAATATATAAATATATAAGTATATAAATATATATGTATATAAATATAAAATATATAAATATATAAAGTATGTAATATATAAACATATTGTGATATAATAATTTGATATAGAACATTAAAATACCATATAATATACTAATACAATATATATATTATATAATGCATATATAACATATATGGCATCTTATGCAAATTATATATTATAAAGTATATACTATATATTATATACTATATATTATATGCTATATGCTATATGTTGTATATTGTATTATATATATAATATATTATATATATAATATATTGTATAATAATATAATATAGAATGTAATAAATACTACATAATATATTACATAAATAATAAATTATTAATTATATTAAAATTCCATATAACTATATAAATTATAGATATAAACAGGTAACATAGAGAGCCTTAATAGCAATATAAAAAAATACAAAATTTTTTTAAAAATTATTTGGACTGAGGGTGGTTGGGGCACTTGTGTGCAAAGTGCCAGTTCTCAAATATTTGAGGCCTCTGCGCACAGGAAACCATTTCTCCTCCTCCCAATCACAGCCTTTCAATTAAATTCCCCAAACCTTGCAATTTCAGTCAGGCCCCAAGCTCAAATTTTATGGCCCTGGAGGAAATTGCTCTGGTTTCCAGGCTGGGATGTTTTGAGGTCAGGTGTCCACTCTGCTTTAAACCCAGTGTGAAACATCACCAAAAACCACAGGGAAAAAACCCTAAAAATGAGTTAACCCCCCCTGAAGCCCAACGGCGCGGCTGCTGCAGCGCAGAGGGAGGGGAGCAGGGATTTGCAGCGGGGCTGGCCCCAGGCAGGAGCTCAGGTGCTGGAGCTGCCCCGGCCCCGTTACCTTCGCAGGTGTCGGTCTCGGTGCGGAACACGAAGCCCTTGGGGCAGGTGCAGGTGTAGCTGCCAGGGGTGTTCCTGCACAGCCCGTTGTCGCACAGCAGCCGGTTGACGCTGCACTCGTCCACATCTGCGGGGGCAGACGTGGCACCCGTGAGCTGCTTTGGGCTGGGAAGGGTTAATTTCCCCCCCCCGCGCAGCCGCAGGAGGGAGCCAGGGGATCGTAGATCCAACCCCAGCCCCTGCACAGGCCCCCCAACAATCCCAGCCTGTCCAGAGCGGCCCCAAATCCCTCAGCCTTTCCCTGATCTCCATCCCAAATCCCTGAACCTTCCCGTGATCTACATTCCAAATCCCTGAGCCTTCCCGTGATCTCCATCCCAAATCCATGAACCTTTCCTGATCTCCATCCCAAATCCCTGAACCTTCCCGTGATCTCCATTCCAAATCCCTGAGCCTTCCCATGATCTCCATTCCAAACCCCTGAACCTTTCCCTGATCTCTGTCCCAAATTCCCAGAACCTTTCCCTGATCTCCACCCCAAATCCCTGAACTTTTCCTGGTCTCCATCCTAAATCCCTCAGCCTTTCCCTGATCTCCATCCCAAACCCCTGATCTCCACCCCAAATTCCCAGATCCTTTCCCTGATCTCCACCCCAAGTTCCCAGAACCTTTCCCTGGATCCTTTCCCTGATCTCCATCCAAATTCCCAGAACCTTTCCCTGATCTCCACCCCAAATTCCCAGAACCTTTCCCTGATCTCCATCCCAAATTCCTGAACCATTCCTGATCTCCATCCCAAACCCCTGAACCTTTCCCTGATCTCCATCCCAATCCCCTGAACCTTTCCCTGATCTCCATCCCAAATTCCCAGAACCTTTCCCTGATCTCCACCCCAATTCCCAGAACCTTTCCCTGATCTCCACCCCAAATTCCCAGAACCTTTCCCTGATCTCCACCCCAAGTTCCCAGAACCTTTCCCTGATCTCCATCCCACCCCCTGGCACAGCTCCAGCCATTCCCTGTGTCCTGCCCCTTCTCCCAGAACACAAATCAGAGCTGCCCCTGCTCTCCTGGAGGTGCTGATCACCCACCCACGAGGGGCAGGGAACGAATTCCTTGTTTTCCTTTCCCCACTGAACTCTCCTTATGCCACCCCACGAGCTCTCCAGCTTCCACCCTTCCCCTTCTCCCCCAAGTCCAGCTCCTGGGGAGAATCTGGATGATGCTGAAGGGGATCAGGTGCTGCAGCAGCTCCTGGAGGTGCCTTGGCACCCCCTGCACCCCTGAGTGCCACCCCTGAGTCAATCCCTGAGTGCCAGCCCTGACTGACCCTGGAGTGCCAGTCCTGACTGAGCCTGGTGTGCCAGCCCTGACTGACCCCTGAGTGCCAGCCCTGACTGACCCCTGCACCCCTGAGTGCCAGCCCTGACTGACCTGACTGACCCCTGAGTGCCAGCCCTGACTGACCCCTGCACCCCAGAGTGCCAGCCCTGACTGAGCCCTGCACCCCGGAGTGCCAGCCCTGACTGAGCCCTGCACCCCAGAGTGCCAGCCCTGACTGAGCCCTGCACCCCAGAGTGCCAGCCCTGACTGAGCCCTGCACCCCAGAGTGCCAGCCCTGACTCACCCACGCAGTTCTTGCCCGTGGGGTCGGACTCGTAGCCCAGGTTGCAGATGCAGCGGTAGCTGCCCCGCAGGTTCTCGCACATCCCGTTGGGGCAGATGTCGGGGTTCAGGGCGCACTCGTTGATGTCTGACAGGGAAAAGAGGCACGTGAGCTGGAGCCCAGCAAATGCAAAGGCAGAAACCTTCCACCCCTGGCTCTTCGCTGCAGGAATCCCGGAGGCACAGAATAGTTTGGGTTGGGAGGGCCCTTAAAGCCCATCTCGTTCCACTTCCACCATTCCAGGCTGCTCCAAGACCTGTCCAGCCTGGCCTTGGACAGTCCAAGGATGGGGCAGCCGCAGCTTTTCCCTGTCCTGACCCAGCCTGGGGCTCTGAGCTCAGCAGGAGAGAGCTGGGCAAGGGGCTGGGATAAGCCCAGTTTTATGTCAAGGACCTTATGTGACATCCCAGAGTCTTCTTTATCCCAGTACCAAGTTCAGGCCCTTGAATTCCCCCTGGGTGCAGCACTGAGTGACCCAGCAGGGTGGCAGCCAGGTGGGCACTGTCCCTTCCCTGCTGGGGCATCCCTTCCTCTGCTCTCTTAGAGCCAACCCCCAGTGCCAGGGCAGAGATTCCACCCTGGCAAGCCCCAGCCTCGCCCAGCCCAGGCAGTCTGTGCTGGCACCGCAGGGTCCCCGCAGTGCCAGATGGCCACGGCTGCCCAGGCACTGCTGGCCTTTGTCCCCACGCTCTTGGAGCTCAGTTCCATCCAGGGAAACCCATCCTGGAGAGCTCTGAGTGCAGCCCTGGCTCCAGGCAGGGGTGGAATGACCAGAGCACGGCCTTGCTAGAAAGAGTCTCATCATTCCCATGGGATTGCCTCTGGCCAGGACACAGAGCCCTGGATGGGAGCCCAAGGAGCCACCGGGGCTTTGCCTCTGGCTCCTTCCCCCTGGAAGGCTTGGCAGGGCCGTGGCTGCCTGGCTGCTCTGTGCTCTCCCTGCTGATCCAAGCACTGCCCAGGGCTGGCACTGGGACCTCTTGGAACTCAAAGCAGCCCCTTGGCAGCACAGCTTGTCACCTCCCTCTGCCTGGGACACCCCAGGGAGGAGCTGGAGAGCAGAGGAGGGAAACAACCAGGAGGGTCCCACTGCTCATTCCCATCACAGCAGGGATGGGAGCCCAGCCTCTCCTGGCACAGCTCCCACAGATCCATCCCTGCTCCAGGAAAAGCAGCTGAAGGTGCTGTGGGATGTGCCCGTGGAATCCTGCATGCCCCTGAAGAATCCTGCATGCCCCTGAGGAATCCTGCACCCACCTCTGCCATCAGCCGTGATCCCGATGCCGCTGCTGCAGAGAGCCTGGAATTCCGCTGGGGACAGAGCACAACAGAGCCATCAGTGTGGCAGGACAGTCCCCACGGGGGGGTTCACTGAGCTGAGTGCTTCGACCCACCGAGGGGTTAATTCTAGGCCTGTTTATGCTCATACAACACAATCACAGAACGAGCTGAGCTGGGAGGGACCCCAAGGACCATCCAGCCCAACGCCTGGCCCTGCCCAGACCCCCCAACAATCCCACCCGTGTCCAAACCCCCCTGGAGCTCTCCCAGCCTTGCTGCCGTCACCTTGCACATTTTCATGCTCACAGCACCACATTTGGCCACCCACTGTCCATTTTTCGGCCTCGTGACACACTTTTCCCCATCCCCACAGCTCCCCCAAACCACCCCACACCTCGGGTGTGCCCTCACCCGAGTTCTTGGCCGGGCAGGGCTGGCAGGGCTCCCCGAAGCCGTGGTCGGGGTTGGCGCAGCAGCACTCAGATTTGGTGACGGCGCCGGGGAAGGGGCGGGCGCAGGTGCCCTTCTTGATGCCCCCGTAGCAGGTGCTGCGCATGTGGGTGTCCACGCAGACGCGGCCGTCCACGCCGATGGCCAGGCCCCCCAGGCACTCGCAGCGGAAGGAGCCCTCGGTGTTGATGCACCAGCCGTTCATGCAGATCCCCGGCGTCTCGCACTCGTCGATGTCTGCGCGCGGAGCGGGGGGAAACGGGGTGAGATCGGGGCGGGGGGCGCGGGGAGGGGAGAGAGGGCTGGGACACACGGGGAGAAGGATGGGACATGAGGAGAGAGGGATGGGACACGGGGAGAGAGGGATGGGACATGGGGAGAGAGGGATGGGAGACAGAGAGAGAGGGATGGGACGTGAGGAGAGGGATGGGAGACAGGGAGAGAGGGATGGGACACGGGGAGAGAGGGATGGGACACATGGGGAGAGGATTGGGACACACGGGGAGAGAGGGATGGGAGACAGGGAGAGAGGGTTGGAACACGGGGAGAGAGATGGCTGAGACATGAGGGAAGGGGACTGGGACATGAGGAGAGGGGACTGGGACACAGGGAGAGGGGGCTGGAACACATGAACGGGGGCAGGCAGGAAGGGAGAAAATGAACATCTCAAAGCTCGGGCACTGCCATGGGAATCTGCCTTTGCTCGTTGTTCCCGTGGTGGAACAGTCCCTTCCCATCTCTCCCTCACCTGCAGCAGCCTCTTGGCAGAACAGCCTTGCTGGAAATCCTGCCTCCACACCAACATGGCCCAGAATCCCCCCTTTTGTCAAACGAAGTTCTCCCAACACAATTTTATTCTTGGGGAGGGCTCTGCAGGTCCCTTGATTGCCACCAGAAAATTTTAAGGAAAGCCCAGGCAGAGAAAACTTCTCCTGGAGAGATCCCATCCCACACCCGGCCCTGCACTTCACCCTCACAACCCTTTTTCAGTGCCAGGGGCTCTGCTGACCCCCCTGCCACCCCCCAAAAAGGGGGGAACAGCCCTTACCAATGCAGGCCTGCTTGGTGGGGGTGCTCTGGAAGCCCTCGTGGCACTTGCAGTGGTAGGAGCCCGGGGTGTTGACGCAGTCGCCGTGGACGCAGGGGCTGCTCGAGCACTCGTCCACATCTGCAAGGTGGGGGAAAAAAAACCCCCCTGTGAGGGACCCTGAGGCACAGCAGAGCCCAGGAGCAGCAAGAGCAGCCTGGAGGAGCTCTGGGAGCTCGGGAGCAGCCCCTACTCACCGATGCACTCCCCTCTGACGTCCTGCTTGTAGCCCATGTTGCACTCGCAGCGGTAGCTGGACGGGGTGGGGATGCAGCGCCCGTTCAGGCACAGGTTGGTGAAGTGTTTGCAGATGTCGATGGTCTGGTTCAGAGTGGCCGTGCCTGGGGGGCACAGCGAGGGTCACAGAGCCCTTGGGGGGAGCACTGGGAGGGGTCACGGAGCCCTGGGATGTCCCCAGGACTCAGGATGGGGTGGCACTTCCTGGGGGACACTGGGAGGGTCACAGAGCCCTGGGATGTCCCCAGGACTCAGGATGGGGTGGCAGCTCCTGGGGGACATTGGGAGGGTCACAGAGCCCTGGGATGTCCCCAGGACTCAGGATGGGGGCAAATTTCCAGTCGGACATTGGGGCAAATACAGAGCCCTGGGATGTCCCCAGGACTCAGGATGGGGTGGCAGCTCCTGGGGGACACTGGGAGGGTCACAGAGTCCTGGGATGTCCCCAGGACTCAGGATGGGGTGGCACTTCCAGGGGGACATTGGGAGGGTCACAGAGCCCTGGGATGTCCCCAGGACTCAGGATGGTGGCAAATCCTTAATCTATACTGCCAGCAAATCCTTATGAGTGCATTATAAACTAATTGTCCTCCTGGCTGTGAGCAGGATGTGAAGAACACACTTTAGGTGCAAATACTTTCAGTGTAATATTGAAAGTTCTCTCTCCTTTAGCTGCAGCCACAGTAAATCTCTTTAAAATACATCCAGACAGCAGGATTTCTGCTCAGCCAGGCACTCCTTTTTCAAGGGAGATGTCAGAATAGGAGACAGCACTTGTCCCGTTTCTGGGGGACACAGGGACATTTGGGGACCCCTTGGATGTCCCAGGAGCTCTCTGGGGGGATGCCAGAGGGGTCCAAGGTGGGCAGGATGAGACTGAGGTGGTGATGGGAAAGCTCTGTCCCTATCTGGAGCTTTTGGGAACCCATTTGGGAACCAGGGAGCGATTCCAGACCAAACCCAGCCTCGCTGGATCTGAGCGCGGGCTCAGCATCAGCGCCACATCCCCGCTGTCCCCCGAGCCAGGACAACCCCTGCGTCCAGCTGGGAGCGGCATTCCAGCCCCGGGGAAGCCGCCCTGGGGCTGGGCAGCCGGGACAAAGCCGGGAATCAGCAGGGAAAGCCGGGAATTACCGATGCTGGAGCTCCCCGGGCCCATCCCGGGCAGCCCCGGGATCCCGCCCTGTCCGTTCGCCCCGTTGGGGCCGATGCCCCCCGGCCCGTTGAGCCCCGGCCCGACCCCGTTGGGTCCGAATCCAGGAATTCCTGGGAAGTTCCCGGGGAAGCCTGGCACCACCGGGAGTCCCTCGATGCAGAGCCTGCGGTACTCGTCTGAAAAAAAACAGGGCTTTGGCAGCAGAGCCCCGATCCCCTGCGGGGGGCAAAGGGCGGGTCCCGATGGGAACGGGAGTGGGAAATGATGGGAACGGGAGTGGGAAATGATGGGAATGGGAGTGGGAAATAATGATGAGAATGGGGCAGAAGGACCAGGAGGGATGGAATAACCCTCACCCCATGGTGGGAATGGGGCAGAAGGACCAGGGGGGATTGAACACCCTCACTCCTTGATGGGAATGGGAATGGGAATAGGCAATGATGGGAATGGGAGTGGGAAATGATGGGAATGGGGCAGAAAGACCAGGAGGGATGGAATAACCCTCACCTCATGGTGGGAATGGGAATAGGAAATTATAGGAATGGGGCAGAAGGACCAGAGGGAATGGAATAACCCTCACCCCATGGTGGGAATGGGGCAGAAGGACTAGGAGGGATGGAATAACCCTCACCTCATGGGGGGAATGGGAATAGGAAATTATAGGAATGGGGCAGAAGGACTAGGAGGGATGGAATAACCCTCACCTCATGGGGGGAATGGGAATAGGAAATTATAGGGATGGGGCAGAAGGACCAGGAGGGATTGGTGCCTGTGACTGTGCATGTTGATTGTTTCTAATTAATGGCCAATCACAGTCAGTGGCTCAGACTCTCTGGGAGTCACAAGTTTTGTTATTCCTCTCCTGTTCTTTCCAGCCTTCTGATGGATCCTTTTCTCTCTGCTCTTTTTAGCTAAGTTTTAGTATATAATTTTAATATAATATATATAATAATATAATTAATCAGCCTTCTGAAACATAGAGTCAAGATTCTCCTCTCTTCCCACGTCCTGGCACCCTCGAACCCAACCATAGATTTCCCCACGGTGCTGCTTCCCGGGTTGCTGGGGAGCCCCTGGTCCAGCTCGCCCTGTCCTGCAGCACTGCTCATCTCCATCCCCTCCAGCAATGGGGACAGGGGTGGGGACAGGGGTGGGACAGGGCGGGGACAGCACGGGGACAGCACGGGGACAGCATGGGGACAGTGCGGGGACAAGGAGAGGGATGGGGATGGAGAGAGGGACAGGGACAGGAACAGGGATGGGGAGAGGGACAGGAACAGGGACAAGGACAGGGAGAGGAAAACGGACGGGGACAGGGAGAGGGACAGGAGAAGACACACGGTCACAATGTGCCACCACCACCCTCTCGGGCAGCCCCCGAGGGCCCGTTCCCGATGGAATCCCTCCCATCCATCATCCATCCATCATCCATCCCTCTATCCATCCATCATCCATCCATCCATTCATCCATCATCCATCCATCATCCATCCCTCTATCCATCCATCATCCATCCATCCATTCATCCATCATCCATCCATCATCCATCCCTCTATCCATCCATCATCCATCCATCCATTCATCCATCATCCATCCATCATCCATCCCTCTATCCATCCATCATCCATCCATCCATTCATCCATCATCCATCCATCATCCATCCCTCTATCCATCCATCATCCATCCATCCATTCATCCATCATCCATCCATCATCCATCCCTCTATCCATCCATCATCCATCCATCCATTCATCCATCATCCATCCATCATCCATCCCTCTATCCATCCATCATCCATCCATCCATTTATCCATCATCCATCCATCATCCATCCATCTATCCATCCATCCATCCATCATCCATCCACCATCCATCCATCCATCATCCATCCATGCCCTGTCTCAGCCCCCCTGAGCCCAGCCCTGGCCCTGCTGGGCTTTTGGGGCTCCTGGCCAAGCCCAGGGCACTGAGGGTCTCTCACATCCAGCAGGCTCCACTGGGCCCTGGCCCTGCTGGGCTTTTGGGGCTCCTGGCCAAGCCCAGGGCACTGAGGGTCTCTCACATCCAGCAGGCTCCACCTGGCTCCAACCCCACCAGGAAAACCTGGAGCCTTCCCCTCCTTCCTCTCCCACCTGGCCTTTTCTCAAGCGGGTTAATGAGGGGGAAAGTCTCCCGAGATGTGGCTGCCACTTCCCGCCATGGTAATTGGAATTAATTGCCCGGGGCTGTTTGATCTGCGGGCTCTGGGTGTGTTCTGCTCCCAGCACAGCTCGGGGACCCCAGGGGACAGTGACCCTGCTTCAAAGCAGCAGCTCCTTCCTCAGGCACGGCCCCAGCCCTGCTCAGAGCTGGATTCAGCAGGAATTGCTCCTTTCAGGAAACTTTAGACACCAAAAAAAACCACTAAAAACAGACACAAGGTCAGGCCTGGAGAAGGGGAGTTTGAAAGCAGGGATTGAATGTAAAACTGGATCAGCCCCTAATCCTCAGGAAGGGGAGGAGAAGCCCTGGGGGTGTTTGGGTCCCAGGGCACCAGCTTGCACAAAACCCCAGAAAAGCAGAAAATGCTGCAGGAGAGAGGGGAGGGGAAATTCCAGCTGGGATTAGAGCGAGCTCAGGGGTGGGCATGGAGCCCGGGGGGCTCAGGGGGTGACCAGGTCCAGCCAGGACGGCAGAGCAGGAGGGGGAGGTGGTCCCTGCTCATCCTGAGGGGACAGGAATGATCCCAGGCTGGATCTGGGGGTCTGGCAGGGCCTGCACCCCTCCCGGGGGGGGTCCTGATGCCAGGAGAAGCAGGAGAGATTATCCAGCACAGCCAACCCCACAACACTGGGCTGGTGGGAGGTGTCCTGGATGAGCTCTGGGATCCCTCCCAGCCCATTCCAGGGTTCCACAGCCCTCAGGTTCCATTTTTCCTCTTGCTTAGATCCAAAAAAAAAAAAAAAAGGGCTTTTCAGGCAGGCAAAGCCCTGAGTGAAACCCTCCCAGGGCTGAGCCAGGCTCGAAAGGAAATGAAAGGGAAAGGGAAAGGGAAAGGGAAAGGGAAAGGGAAAGGGAAAGGGAAAGGGAAAGGGAAAGGGAAAGGGAAAGGGAAAGGGAAAGGGAAAGGGAAAGGGAAAGGGAAAGGGAAAGGGAAAGGGAAAGGGAAAGGGAAAGGGAAAGGGAAAGGGAAAGGGAAGGGAAGGGAAGGGAAGGGAAGGGAAGGGAAGGGAAGGGAAGGGAAGGAAAGGAAAGGAAAGGAAAGGAAAGGAAAGGAAAGGAAAGGAAAGGAAAGGAAAGGAAAGGAAAGGAAAGGAAAGGCATGTGCACATCTGGAATGCACTGAAAGGCCCTTTTCCTTCATTTGGGAATTATTCTTTCAAGCTGCCCTGGAAGAGGAGCCCTTTGAAGCAGGGACAATGCAGGGACCCCCCCAGCTGCTGGAGCAGCTCTGGTGCTGCCTGCAGAGCCCTGCACAGCAGGGATGAGTGAGGCTCCCGTGCCCAGCCCAGGTGCTGGAATGGTTCCATGAATGCTTCTGGGTGTTTGTCCTGCTGGGGTTTTCCTGGGGCAGGCTCTGGAAGCAGCTCCAGCTCTGGGTGTTGCTGTGCCAGCTGGGAAAAACTTTTTGGGATTCTTGCAGTGCCATAAAAAAAGGGCTGAGGAGGGAGGGGAATGGACCAAGAGCCCCTAAATACCTTTGCTGTGGCCACCTCCAGGGTGGCAATGTCCCCTCTCCTGATGCTTTAAAAGTGCCCACATTATTTATCCATTTCCATTTTCCTTGCTTTATTTCACGGGGTGGAAACCTGGAACCCCAAAACTCTCCAAACAAGCCCCCTCCCCCGGAACAGAACTGGTAAATTTGGGTGCCAGGGCAGCCCCAGCCCAGCAGGAGCTGTGGGTTCTGCCAAAACAAAGCCAGCCCGTCCCAAAAAGGAGCTCAGGGAAGGCTGCAGCACCCAGAGCCAGCCCAGGTGGAGTCAGAGCCCACTGCAGCTACATCAGCTCGGCACTATTTTTAAATCTGGGCTTTCTAATTTGATTTATTTTCGTTTCTCGAAGCTCTTGGTTTCAAGGGAAGTGGGGAATGTCCACATGACTCATCCCAGGGCTGTCACACCCCTCTGGGCTCATGGCAGGGGCTGGGAAACAGCAGGAAAAAATTCCATTCCCATTAAAATCTATCAGTTTCCCAAACAAGAGGACTTGGGCTTTACTTTTTACTCACACTTCACAACATTTTTTTTTCCCCCTCCTGGAACTAAAACATTCAATCCTGCTCCAGGATCCGTGGCTAGAAAAGAATTTGGAGCTGATTTTTTTTTTTTTTTTCTGAATTCATTTCCACAGAAAGCTGTGCCTGCACCACCAATCCCTGCCTGTGCTGGAAGAATTCCTCTTCCCAAATCTCCCCATCCTCATCTTCCTGAAGGCAAATGGACTTTCAGACCAAGGGAAAAAAAACCCCTGGGATTTATTTGCTGAGTGTGAGTAACCACAGAGCTGCTCCTCTGTCCCAGGAATGGGGTTTGACACCAATGGATCATCAAATATTTACAGGAAAGGAGTTTTGATCTGTTAAAAAATTCAAAAAATTCACTCCAGGCTCTGGGGGCCGGGGGCAGCACAGCTCAGGCTGGGGAGAACTCTGAACTGGGGCCAGTTTGGGGCTTTGGGATGGGAGCACTGGTGGAAAACACCAGAACAGGAGGGGAGGGGGAGTCTGGGATCCTCCTGCAAACCGGGAACACCCAGATGGGATATTCTGTGAGAGGAGCACGGGGATCCCTCCTCACTGCCCCACACTCCCATCCCAAGCCTTCCTCCCAACCCTCCTCCTCATTCCCATCCCCAAGCCTTCCTCCCAATCCTCCTCCTCATTCCCATCCCCAAGCCTTCCTCCTAATCCTCCTCCTCATTCCCCTCCCCAAGCCTTCCTCCCAATCCTCCTCCTCACTGCCCCCACACTCCCATCCCCAAGCCTTCCTCCCAACCCTCCTCCTCCTCCTCACATCCTCACCAACCCTCTCCCCCACTGAGCCCCCCCAGCCCAAACCCCGGAGAGGCACAAGGACCAGGAGCTCCCAGCCGGGCACCGGGAAGGAGGAGCAGCTCCCACCCAGCCAGCACCGCTCCCACCCCCGTGCGCACCCCCCCGGCCCCGGTCCGACCCCGACCGCCGCGGTTTCCCCCTCACCGAGGCAGCGGGAGCCGTCGGGGCTGCTGACGAAGCCGCGGGGGCAGGAGCACACGTAGCTGCCCGCCGTGTTGGTGCAGTCGCCGCCGTCGCACACGCCGGGGATGGCCCCGCACTCGTCCACGTCTGCAGGGGAGGATGGAGAACCACGGGCAGGATGGAGAACACATGGGCAGGATGGAGAACCCACAGGCAGGATGGAGAACCCATGGACAGGATGGAAATTCCATGGGCAGGATGGAGAACACATGGACAGGATGGAAATCCCACGGGCAGGATGGAGAACCATGGGCAGGGTGGAAATCCCACGGACAGGATGGAGAACCCATGGACAGGATGGAGAACCACGGGCAGGATGGAGAACCCACGGGCAGGATGGAAATCCCACAGGCAGGATGGAAATCCCATGGACAGGATGGAAATCCCATGGGCAGGATGGAAATCCCACAGGCAGGATGGAGAATCCATGGACAGGATGGAGAATCCATGGACAGGATGGAGAACCCACGGGCAGGATGGAGAACCCATGGACAGGATGGAGAATCCACCGGCAGGATGGAGAACCCATGGACAGGATGGGGAACCCATGGGCAGGGTGGAGAACCCATGGGCAGGATGGAAAATGGCTCCTTCCCCACCCAAATCCGGGCAATTGGGTTTTAGGAGTCAGCCAAACTGATGGAAAACCCACGGGTAGGATGGAGAATCCATGGGCAGGATGGAGAACCCACGGGCAGGATGGAGAACCCATGGAGAGGATGGGGAACCCATGGGCAGGGTGGAGAACCCATGGGCAGGATGGAAAATGGCTCCTTCCCCACCCAAATCCGGGCAATTGGGTTTTAGGAGTCAGCCAAACTGATGGAAAACCCACGGGTAGGATGGAGAATCCATGGGCAGGATGGAGAACCCATGGGCAGGATGAAAAATGGCTTCTTCCCCACCCAAATCCAGGCAGTTGGGTTTGGGGGTCAGCCAAACTGATGGAAAACCCATGGACAGGATGGAAAATGGCCCCTTCCCCACCCAAATCCAGGCAGTTGGGTTTGGGGGTCAGGGGATGCTGGGGGTCATTAAAACTCTGGCATTCGTGGAGTTCCTGCTTCTGTCCACAAGGGAAGTTTGGGATGGACAGGGGGAAGAAATTCCTCCCAGAAAGAGGGACTGGACACTGGAAAGGGCTGCCCAGGGAGGGCTGGAGTCTTCTCCCCCAGGTGACCTTGGTCATGGTCTGCAAGTCCAGCCCTTGGTGATGGGTTAAACTTGCAGACCCCTGTGAGCCCCCTCCCAGCCCAGGATATTCCACAATTCCATCCTCTGTTTCTATCCCAGTCAAGAGGAGCAGACAAATTCCTGCTTGGCTCTTTAGGACTCTCAAATTCTGCCCCTGGCCACCACCTGAGGGGTCCCCTGAGCCCCCCCGGTGCTGCTCTGGTTCTTTGATGCTCAGAAAAGCCCTGAGAGCAGAGCAGCAGAGCAGAACACAAAAAACACCTCCCCCACCTGGGCCCCTGCAGCCAAAAAGAGATTTTATCAGCCAGCCTGCCCTGTCGCTCCATCCCAGCCCTGCCCTGGGCTCCAACCACTCAGCTCTGCAAGGAAAAGAGCTTTTGGGAAGGCAGAGTTGGAAAAAAACCAGCCCAAACCTTGGTGTGGCGCTGGGGAGGATCCCAGACCTGGGGCTGCTGACAGATCTGTGCCTCTGTCACCCCTCCCTCACCCCAAGGCAGCACCAGGGCCACCAGGGGATCCCATCCCTATGGAAAACCAAACTCCAGCTCCTTTTTTCTTTTTCAGAAACCCCTTGAAAATCCCGGTGCTGAGGAGCAGGAAAAGAGCCCATTCCTGCAGGACTCCACATCCTGTGCTTCAGGAACCTGATCCCTGGGCTTTGTTGTCCTTTCAGCCCTTCCCCAGCACATTTTCCTGCTGGGTTTTCCCTCTGTGAGTGTCCCGTGGTGGTTTGGAGCCGCTCAGGCAGCGCTGACCCAGTGGGATGGGTTCATTCCCCTCTCATTAACACCCAGCACCAGGCAGGGAACCCTGCCAGCTCCAGCCTGGCTCCTTCCCGACTTTTCCAACCTTCTGTTCAAAATTAAAGCAGGATCCTGTGCTCTGCTGCTCAGACAATGGCAGGATTCAAGGCAAAGGTTGATTTTGGAGCCGGGCTGGGGTTGGAATTGGCCTCCTCCTTAAGGTTGAAAAAGCTGGAAAACCAAAGGCTGCAGAGCCTCTGGAAGAGCTGGAGCTGCAAAGCTCATCCCACACAGCTGTGGGAACCCCAACCTTTCCTAATGTGCTAAAAACCCAGGGTTTGATGGAGAAAACACCCCCAGGGCTCGTGCCTTGGGGTCACCAGAGACTCGCTGCCCTCCCCTCCCAGAAAGGAACCACAGAGGGGAAAATGGAAGCTCCAAACCTCCCAAATCCAGGGAAATGAGCTCTGGATGGAGCCAGACAATGAGCTCTTCACAGGGGTTTTGTGAGGAAATGGAAAGAAAGTAGTTATGGAGCTCCATCCATCCCTGGAAAACTCTGGGGAGCTGCAGGAAAATCAGGATTTTGTGCCCTGGTGGCAAAAGCCTGGCCTGTGGGGGCATAAGGAGCCCCTCACGTCTAAAGGGGTGAGGAAAAGAGGTGAGATTTGGAACCCCAGCATTTGTTCCCTCTGGCAGACTATCCTGGAGAGGCCAAAAATGGGCAAATCCTGGCTGGGGTTGTTGCACACAGCTTGCCTGGAGCCTTCCACTCCCTTTCCTGGTGTCTCTCCATGGATTCTTTTTTTTTTTTTTTTTTGTCTCTTATCACCCTGGATGATTTTGGATGCAGGACACATTCCTTTGGGAAGCATCCTGGATGAGGCACTGGCATTACCTCACTGATAGCAGAGCTTGGCCTTTGTCCTGCAGCACAGGAAGGGCTGTTAAAAAGTGAAATTCTTGGCAGAGAAAGCCTGGAATTATGGCAGGAAAAGCTTTGTCCAGCCAGTGATTCCCCCTTAACTCCACACCACGGAATTGTTCCCTTCGGTGTCATTTTTCCAGCTGCTTCCAGGATCATTTAAAAATGCCCCAGCCCCCCTTTCCCTGTGATTTATGGCTCCAGGTCTCTGGAGCAGCAGGATGTGTCCGAGTTCAGCTTTGATGTTCCCTCTCTCCACTCTGCACCAGGAATTTTCTTGTGTCCTCAACAATTTTCCTCCCGCCGCGTTGAGAACTCAGCTGGATCCAAACCTCCCTTCTCCCTGGGCTCTCATTCCCTTAAAACCTCAACAGATCCCGCTTTCCCCCTTTTTTCCACCATAATCCAGTGAGATTGGTTAATTCATCCCTAACCTGACAACTCCTGCCCTCTTTGCTCCTCTTTTTGCACAACACAAACACAATTTTTGGCGCTTCCCAAGCCGACCTTGTCTCCAGCGCTTTTTGGGGAGCAGCCTGAGCCTTCCCCTCCCTAAATCCAGCATTTCCCTGTTTCCCAGACTGCTCAGATCCCCAGAAAGGGAGCAGTGCCAGAAGCTCTCACCAGCTCCTGGAATACCATGGACAATGGGACACAGGAGCTACCCTCTGGAAGTGCCCCATCCACCAGGGATGAGCCTGGAACGGAACAACCCCGGCCTTGGAGGAGCTGCAGCTCCAAATCCGGCCTGGATGTTCTTCCCTGAGAGCAAAAGGATTCGTTTTCCTGCTGGAGCTGAGAATCCATCCAGGGAATATCCAGCTGCAGCTGGAGCCTCCGTTATCAGCGTGGAATATCTGGGGCTGGGAAAGCGTCTTTATCCTCCGGGAGCGAATTCCAGGTGTTGGTGTTGGGAGATAAGGAAGGCACAGCCGTTATCTCTGTTCCCTCCAGGACACAGCCGGGGGGCATGGATCGTTAATGAGGGGCATTGTTAATGAGGGGACATCGCTAATTAGCGGGCTGGGCTGGGACCTGCGGCTCCAGCACAATCCCAGCTGCTGACTTCCCACCAGGAATCCCCCAGCACCAAACTGGAGCTCTGGGAAGCTGGGGAGAATCCCCCAGAGAGGTTTAATCGAGGTTTGATATTCCCTGGATGCCAGGCTTGGATGGGGAATCTTGAAAATGAGAGGGAGGCAGAGAATTCCCTCCTTTCCACGCTGTGAAATGAACCCAAAACTCAGCAAGGGAACTCCTGCCCAGCTGGGATTCGGAGCCTGGAGCACACCTGGAGCACAAATCCATCCTCTTTGATCAAACCCTGGGCTCAGTGAGGACCAAGGCAGAGATTTTGGCAGGTTCAGCAGGAATGTGCAGCTCAGGGATTTGATGCTCCACGTGCTGGACCAAATTCCTGATGGATCAAAGGGTGCAGGAAACTCGGGGCCCAAATCTTCTTGTGCCCACGAAGTGGGAGAGGAACCCTCTCCAATCTCCTATCCACACAATTTTAGGGAATCCCAAAGGTGATTCCACTTTCCTGGGATCCTCCTTCCCTTCTGGTGGCCCCATGGAGGTGACAGAGCTGGGAGAGGAGCCCTCAAACCCATCCCTTTGGAGCATCCCTCCTGTTTGTGTCGTTGCCAGCAGCACTCCCAGATCCAGAGGGACCCTTGGTGGTGATGCCAGGGAGGGAGCAGCTCCTGGGAATGCTGGAGCTGTCCCTTTGTGGGCAGGACAGGGAAGGGGAGCAGTTTGTGGCCACGTGGGGCTGCTCTTCCAGGCTCTGGGGGGAGTGGGAGGCCCCTCACATCTGGAGGGCAGATCCAGACAATGGGTTTGGTTTAATCTGGGGATGGAGGAGATTCCAGCTCAACAGGTTTCAGATGTGCTCTGCTCCCCAGCTGGTGTGGGACAGGCAGGGAGGGCCAGGAGCAGCTTTCTGCTGCCCCTGCTCCCACCTTGGCCAGGCAAATTCCTGGAATGCCACTGGATTCAGGGTCCTTCAGCTGCCACAAGAAAAGGGCTGGTTTGCATTGTCCTGCTTTCAGTCCTTGGATGTGGAGCTCTGCAGGAATTCTGTCAGGATTTTAGAGAAAGTCTCCTGGCGTCCTGCCCAGGAAGATGCTCAGACACAGATGTTTCCTGGGATGGAGGAATGTCCATCCCCCAGCAGGGATTGACCTCTGGAGCTCCTGGCTCAATTTGGGAAACGTTTCCTGAGGGGCTGAACCCAGGGCACAGAATCCTGGAATGGTCAGGAGAGATCCTCTCATCCCACCTCCTGCCATTCCAATTCCAGGGGCTTCCAGAGGCAGCCAGAGCTCTCCCTGAGCTCCCAGCACCAGCCTGATGTCCCATTTCACAGTGATTAAATCTTCACAGCCCTAATGAAGATCCTCCAAATTAAAAGTTGTTGAGTTTTCAAGGCTTGATCAGACTCAGAACCTGGCAGAGCTTTGGAGGCAGCCCTGAGCTGAGCCTGGCTAAAACCTTCCCGAGGTCCCTCCTGTGCCATCAGCCTGTGTTCCCACTAAAATATCCTTTAAAAAACCCCTCTGTGAACAAACCAAACCATTTCCTTCTGGTCTGAGGCCAGCTCAGGAGATCAGGCAAAGCCTATTCCTCATTTCCTGCCCTCGGCCTGTGGCAAGCAGATCAAAAACCCCTTTGGCAGGGCTGGCTGGGAGGTGGGATCCAGCCTGGAACGGGAGCTCTGTCCCACCTCCACCTTGGAAAAACCCAGGACTGAATCCTCCTGGGACCTTGGGCAGTGGAGCATCCCTTACCTTCACACCTGTGGCTGGTCTCGCTCTGCTTGTGCCCTGCAGGGCACTTGCACTCGTAGGATCCCACGGTGTTGATGCAATTCCCACCTTGGCAGAGGCCAGGGATGGCCTGGCACTCATCCACATCTGCAGCAGGAGGAGGAGGAGGAGGAGGAAGGGTGTGAGGGAGCAGCAGCCGTGGATCCCTGGATTTCCCTGTGCTCAAGGAGCTGGATCACATTCCAGAGGGAATTACCCCCCCCAGACTGCACCAGGGGATGGACAGGAATGAATTCCTGGCTCAAGCAAGAGGGAGACAAAGGTATGGGAATGCTTCCCAAAGGATCTGTCCATCCCATGGTTCTTTGGGAGAAACACCCCGTGGGATGGGGCAGCTCACCCAAGAGCCACAGTGTGCCCTGAATCTCTGGGATAAAATGGTGCTGGAAGATCCCAGGGGACACTCCAGAACCATGGAGGTGCTCCGTGACACACAGGGGGGATTTGGAAAATTCCACAGAGAGTTCTGTGCTTTGGGGCTCTGCTTTGGGGGCTTTCCTCTCTGTATTCTCTGGTTTAGGGCTCTGCTTTGGGGCTCTGCTCTCTGTGCCCTCTGCTTTGGGGCTGTTTTGGGGCTGTTTTGGGGTTCTTTGTTGGGGCTCTGCTCCTGGTGTTCTCTGTTCTGGGGCTCTGCTCAGCATTCTCTGCCTTGGTGCTGTTTTGGGGCTGGTTTAGGCTCCTGCTCCACGCTCTGCTCTCAGTGTTTTAGGGTCCTGTTTCAGGACTCTGCTCTCATCATTTTAGGGCTGGTTTAGGCTCCCATTCTGGGCTCTGCTCTCAGCACTTTGGGGCTGTTTCAGTCCCCTGTCCCAGACTCTGCTTTCCCCATTCTCTATTTTCTCTATTTCAGTCCCTGTCCCAGGCTCTCCTCTCCCCACCTCCCCCATCCCTGCTCGCGGTCTGTGCCATGCCCAGCTGTGCCCAGCTGTGCCCAGCTGTGTCCTCCCATGCCCAGCCCTGCCCAGCCCTGCCCTCCCGTGCCCAGCCATGCCCAGCCATGCCCAGCCATGCCCAGCCATGCCCAGCCATGCCCAGCCATGCCCAGCCATGCCCAGCCATGCCCAGCCATGCCCAGCCATGCCCAGCCATGCCCAGCCATGCCCAGCCATGCCCAGCCATGCCCAGCCATGCCCAGCCATGCCCAGCCATGCCCAGCCATGCCCAGCCATGCCCAGCCATGCCCAGCCATGCCCAGCCATGCCCAGCCATGCCCAGCCATGCCCAGCCATGCCCAGCCATGCCCAGCCATGCCCAGCCATGCCCCGCCCTGCCCTCCCGTGCCCAGCCCTGCCCAGCCATGCCCAACCATGCCCAACCATGCCCAGCCGTGCCCTCTCGTGCCCAGCCCTGCCCAGCTGTGCCCTCCCGTGCCCAGCCATGCCCAGCGACTCCCAGCCGTACCATCTCGTGCCCAGCCCGGCCCACTCGTGCCCAGCCCTGCCCTCCCGTGCCCAGCCCTGCCCAGCTGTGCCCTCCCGTGCCCTCCCGTGCCCTCTCGTGCCCAGCCCTCCCCAGCCGTGCCCAACCATGCCCAGCCGTGCCCTCCCGTGCCCTCCCATGCCCAGCCCTGCCCTCTGGTGCCCAGCCGTGCCCTCCTATGCCCTCCCGTGCCCAGCCGTGCCCTCCCGTGCCCAGCCATGCCCAGCCCTGCCCTCCCGTGCCCAGCCGTGCCCTGGTTCCCGCCGCGCTGACCCTGGCAGGCTCCGGTGCGGATGTTGGGGATGAAGCCGCGGCGGCAGGGGTGCGGCTGGGCCGGGCACATCTCGCAGGGGTGGCCCCAGGCGCGGCCGATGGTGGCACAGCACATGGTCTTGGTGCACACGATGCCGCTCAGCTGGCCCTGGCACATCTGGTTGTTCACCTGGCTGAAGCACGGCCCCGTGCGGTAATCTGGGTGGGAAGGGGGAGAATTCCGGGGTTAGAGCCGCGGGGATCCTCACAGAGAAAAGAAAGGCACGGTTCTTCCCAGGAATATTCCTGGGATTCACATTCTCTGAACCTCAGAGAAAGAAAACACAATGCTTATCCTTTTCTGTGCCTGTGTTTGTGCACAGGCAGAATGAAACCGGGATTGTACACCCACAGTGAGGGTGTTTTGGTTCCTTGGCCTGTCAGGCCAGGTGTGCAGCCCCACATTTCCCTTCACAGAGAAAAGCAAGGCACAGCTCTTCCCAGGAATATTCCTGGGATTCACATTCTCTGAGCTTCAGAGAAAGGAAAAACACAATGCTTATCATTTTCTCTGCCTGTGTTTGTGCACAGGCAGAATGAAACCGGGATTGTACACCCACAGTGAGGGTGTTTTGGTGGGTGTGCGTGTGTCAGGACTGTTGGGACAGCCACGAGATTCTGGGCAGTGTGTGCAGGGCTGAGAGCTTGGCAGATTCAGTCTGGATGTAATGCAATATAGTATGGAATAATGCAGTATAATAAAGTCATTAATTAGCCTTCTGCCAAGATGGAGTCAGCTGAATCATTCTCTCCCCTCACAGGGGGTTCCCTGTGAATTCCAGGATCCAGTGTGTAAATCCCAGGATTTCTGCCTGGCTCCCTTGCCAGCACAGGGTGGGATTTGGGGGGAAAACTGCGATGGTGGAAAACTGTGGTGTTGGAGGTGCTGGTGGCCCTAAAAGGAGCTGAAAATCAAAAGTCAGGCAAAGAGGCAATTCCAGGGCTGCAATTCCACCTGCTCTGGGAATTTCAGGGATGAGAAAAGCAATCAAATTTCAATTTAGTTACAAAGATCCTTCCCTGGAAGTGCCCAAGGCCAGGCTGAACAGAACCTGGAGCACCCTGGGATAGTGGAAGTAGCTGGCAGTGGAATTCCATGGTTTTTATGTTCCCTTCCATCCCAAACCAGTCTGGGATTCTGGAATTCTCACACACTGGGATTCTGTCTCATGATTAATCCCTTCAACTCCCAAACACCTCCTGGCAATTTCAGCTTTAAACCCCAGACACTGCAGGAACAACCAGCAGGTTTCCCATTCCCAATTAGGATGTTCCTATCCCTTAAACCCCAAGGATTTTAACCCAATTTTTGCAGGGCTTTGCCCTCAGGAATGTGGGTTTGCCACTGCCTGGGCTCCCGTGACCCTTGATGAGGGATATTGGCACAGCAGGAATCCAGCAGGAAGCAAAATCCTTCCCTGGGGTTTTCCCTTCAGCTGGGCAGAGGTGGTGGCACAGAAGTGTTTGATCTGTGGCTGGGAAAAAAAATAAAATAAAATAAAACCTTGGAGCACATCCTGGTCAGCCCAGAAAATTCCTGATGAAGTGTCTGGGCAGTCAGGTGCTGGTCAGGCAGCCAGAGCCTGGCTGAGATGGGCTCAGGGAATTTCCAGGCTGGAATTAGGCAGTAATTAGGAACTGCCCTGACCCCAAATCCCTGCTCCTGGATTAACCCCCAGATGTCCCTGCAGGGAAAGGTTTGGGTTTGATGTGTTTGAAGCAATAAAAATCATTTTGGAGGGGGGTGAGAGCACTGGGAGCCCCAGGTGACCATGTCCCAAAATCCATGGAAAACACCCAGGAAATCCTCCTGGCTGGGAAAGAGTCAATTAGCAAAGAATTCCTCATTTCCAGCCTAATGCTCCCTCTGGTTTGTGTTCTGGAGCACTTTGTCCTGGGAAATTAAAGCTGAGAAAATTGGGCTGTGGGTGCCACTGGGAGGTGAGAGGAGAAGGATTTGAGAGGGGAAAAAGGAATGGTTTGCAAGTTAAATCAGTGTGAAGGTGATGGCATCTCCCAGAAAAGCCTTTTTTTGGGAATCTGACCAGAAACATGAACCATGTAATGATCCTCTTTTTTTTTTTTTTTGACCCAAATTTTACAAGTTCCCAGATGTCACTGCGGGGTGGACCCCAAAAAACTCAGATTAATAAATGAAAAACCCCAAATGATGTTCTGAACAGACAGAAAAGTGGCCAAACCTGCACCTCCCACCTCATCTCCTACCTCATCTCCCCCAGGCACTGCAGGAATTCCTGGAGAGGGATAATGAATGAGGGATTGTGAGGAGAACACCCCCTTTTAAGCCCATAATTGCCCAAAATAACTTTTCCTATGCAGATGACTCCTCTGGAGGGAAAGAAGCCAAGGAAATCTCAGTCTGGAGAGCCCTGGCTGCCTCCCAGCCCCAGCTGGTGCTAATTTTAATGGGCAAATGATTAAATTTTTAATGAGGCACCAATGAAATTTTATGAAGGAAATAGGGACGCTTAGGAGATGTCTGAAGCCTTTCCCAGTCCCTGCATGGGATCTGTGTTCCAGGAATCCTGCTGCAGGTAGCTGTCCTTCAGGAGCTGGCTTTTTTCCTTGGAAAATTTGGGATTGCTGCTCCAAATTCCCAGATCCCTCAGCCTCACAAAAGCAGAGCCCAGTGTGGGAGCAGCAGCACATTCCCAGCTCCAGGTAAATCCCATTAAGGGATTGCAAGAAATCCTGGATGTGGGGGGATTTAGGGAGCCCCTGGAGCTCTGAATCCCTGGCAATTCCAATGGCAATTCCCACTGAAGGACTGCAAGAAATCCTGGATCAGGGGGGATTCTGGGGGGGAGGGTTTGATCAGGAACTTCTGAAAATATTCACAAGAATAAAAGAGTTTCCTCCACTCCTGCAACATCCGTGGAGGCAGGAGAGTGTCCCTGAGTCAATTCCAGCTGGAATTTGGGTCCCTGGAGATGGAAAAGTGGGGTAATTCCAGGATTTTCTGTGTGTCTAAAGGACAATCCCAGCCACACAAATCCATCAAGGGAAGGGAATGAGGAGCTTTTCTCTTCTCCCACCCTCTGGAATTCCCTCCTGAGACAGGCCAGGGGCTGAATTCCTCCTCTCCAAAACAAACAAACAGAGCTGAGGAAGAGGAGCTTTTTCCTTTGCCAAAACTCCAATCCCCTCTCTCAGCAAACAATGGAGGCTTTGCCTCGGAACCTGCAGGACAGAAGTGGCCTGTGGAGCATCCCTAGGGAGCTCCAGCTGGGATGGGGCCACAAATCCTGGGATGGGGCAGGAGGACACGGCTGGGACTGAGCCAGAGCCACCAGCGGGAGGGACAGGGACTGGGATCAGAGAGAGACAGGGATAGGGATCAGGGACAGACAGGGACTGGGATCAGAGAGAGAGGGATAGGGATCAGGGACAGACAGGGACTGGGATGAGGGATTGGGATCAGGGACAGACAGGGATTGGGATCAGGGACTGGGATCAGAGAGAGAGAGGGATTGGGATCAGGGACTGGGATCAGAGAGAGAACGGGATTGGGATCAGGGAGAGACAGGGATTGGGATAGGGAGAGACAGGGATTGGGATCAGAGAGAGAGACAGGGACTGGGATCAGGGAAAGACCAGGGATTGGGAGAGACGGGGACTGGGAGAGACAGGGATTGGGATCAGGGACAGACAGGGCTTGGGATCAGGGACAGACAGGGATCAGGAGTGTCAGGGATCACAGGGGAGCAAGGTTAGAATCAAATGCTCAGTGGAGCAATGGATGCTCTGCCCACAGAGACCTTGGAACCCTGGAATGCTCGGGGCTGGGAGGGACCTCAGAGCTCATCTCCTCCCTGTCCCACAGGCAGGGACACCTCCCCCTGTCCTGGGCTGGCCTTGGACACTTCTAGGGATTCCCCCTCTGGGAATTCCATCCCAGCCCCTCCACACACAGAGGGAACAATTCCTCTCCAATATTCCACCTAACCCTGCCCTCTGTCCATGGGAAGCCATTCCCTGTGTCCTGTCCCTCCATGGACATGAGGGACCAACGTCCCAGAGCCACCAGCCCAATCCCAGGGGAAGGAGCCAACCCCAGAGGATTGTTCCTGTTCTTCTCCAGGTGTTTTCCAATTCTTCCTGTTCTTCTCCAGGTGTTTCCCAGCCTGGATCAATTGTCCCTGTTCTTCTCCAGGTGTTTTCCAGCCTGGATCAATTGTTCCTGTTCTTCTCCCGGTGTTTCCCAGCCTGGATGGATAGTCCCTGTTCTTCTCCAAGTGTTTTCCAATTGTTCCTGTTCTTCTCCAGGTGTTTTCCAGTTGTTCCTGTTGATCTCCAGGTGTTTTCCAGCCTGGATCAATTGTTCCTGTTCTTCTCCAGGTGTTTTCCAGTTGTCCCTGTTCTTCTCCCGGTGTTTCCCAGCCTGGATGGATAGTCCCTGTTCTTCTCCAAGTGTTTTCCAATTGTTCCTGTTCTTCTCCAGGTGTTTTCCAATTGTTCCTGTTGATCTCCAGGTGTTTCCCAGTTGTCCCTGTTGTTCTCCAGGTGTTTTCCAGCTGTTCCTGTTCTTCTCCAGGTGTTTTCCAGCCTGGATCAATTCTCTGTTCCTGTTCTTCTCCAGGTGCCAATTGTTCCTGTTGATCTCCAGGTGTTTCCCAGTTGTCCCTGTTGTTCTCCAGGTGTTTTCCAGCATGGATCAATTGTTCCTGTTGTTCTCCAGGTGTTTTCCAGCTGTTCCTGTTCTTCTCCAGGTGTTTTCCAGCCTGGATCAATTGTTCCTGTTCTTCTCCAGATGTTTTCCAGTTGTTCCTGTTGTTCTCCAGGTGTTTTCCAGCATGGATCAATTGTTCCTGTTGTTCTCCAGGTGTTTCCCAGTTGTCCCTGTTGTTCTCCAGGTGTTTCCCAGTTGTCCCTGTTGTTCTCCAGGTGTTTCCCAGTTGTCCCTGTTGTTCTCCAGGTGTTTTCCAGCCTGGATCTGGCTCTCCAGCCCCAGAGCTGTCTCAGCCCCTGGGCTCCAGGCAGGGAGGGGAGCAGCCCGAGGGTCTCCCTCAGGGGCTCCTTTCTCATGGAATACTTTCTCCAGCTCGTCATTTCCTCACTTCACCCAAACACAGCCACATTCCTCAAGTTTAACTGTTTGGACTTCTGCAGAAAAGAAAAAGCTGGCGGGGGCCTCTCTCTAAGGCCAGACATTCCAAGTGCTGGAAAAACACATCCAAAGGAAATTGTAAAGGGGGAACTTTTTCTGAGCTTTCCTATCATGTTTTTACTATTTCCTGATGAAGTCTCGGCCTGGTGAAACCCGAGAGAGTTTCAAGGAGGCACAAAAAGCATGGAGAAACGAGGAGATGGTGGCTCCAGAGCAGGAGGAATGGCTGGAAAAGTCAGGGCAGGGCTTGGAAACTCCTGGAAGAGCCCTCTGGGTCAGGACTTGTCCTGGTTGGTCAGGGGAGGGGCTGGGGTGGCACTTCCAGAGATCCAGACTGTCCCCAAGCACTCAGGTGGAAAGCTGGCACTGCCCAGAGTGCCCTGGGAGAGACCACAGCTCCTGGAGCCCAGGGAAAGCTCCTGGGAAAAGCTCCTGGAGCCCAGGGAAAGCTCCTGGGAAAAGCTCCTGGATCCCAGGGAAAAGCTCCTGGGAAAAGCTCCTGGATTCCATGGAAAAGCTCCTGGGAAAAGCTCCTGGAGCCCAAGAAAAAGCTCCTGGGAAAAGCTCCAGGAGCCCAAGAAAAAGCTCCTGGGAAAAGCTCCCAGATCCCAAGGAAAAGCTCCAGAGAAAAGCTCCTGGATCCGAGGGAAAAGCTCCTGGGAAAAGCTCCTGGATTCCATGGAAAAGCTCCTGGGAAAAGCTCCTGGATCCCAGGGAAAAGCTCCTGGGAAAAGCTCCTGGATTCCATGGAAAAGCTCCTGGGAAAAGCTCCTGGATCCCAGGGAAAAGCTCCTGGGAAAAGCTCCTGGAGCCCAAGAAAAAGCTCCTGGAAAAAGCTCACAGATCCCAAGGAAAAGCTCCAGAGAAAAGCTCCCAGATCCCAGGGAAAAGCTCCAGAGAAAAGCTCCCAGATCCCAAGAAAAAGCTCCTGGGAAAAGCTCCTGGATCCCAGGGAAAAGCTTCTGGGAAAAGCTCACAGATTCCAGGGAAAAGCTCCAGAGAAAAGCTCCTGGATCCCAAGGAAAAGCACCTGGGAAAAGCTCCTGGGTCAGAGGATAAAGCTCCTGGATCCCAAGGAAAAGCTCCCAGATCTCAGGGAGAAGTTCCTGGGAAAAGCTCCTGGATGCCAGGGACAGGCTCCACAGGGAAGGTTTCATTTGGCTGGAAAAACAACCCCAAATGAAAAACCTCATCCCTGGAGCACAGGAGGAGCTCCAAGCATCACCTGATGAGTCAAACTCAGTCATTTTTTCCTGCTCGAGGGAGGGTGGAATCAGAGCCATGACATCAAAATCCAAATCCTTCATTTTGCCGTAAATCCATGAGCAAGCCCTGGCCCCACAGCCCCGGCTTTTGTGGGCTGCAGCTTTTCCTCCCACACTGATGTAATGGGAGCTCAGGTTCCACAAAATATCCCCCAGCCACTCGTCCCCGAAGATGTCAGGGAGAGGGAGGAAATGATGCTGGAATTCTGTGAGTGCCTGCTCCGAGGGTATTTCCCTCTGGAGGGGGGAATTTCCTGGATGAGGTGTGAGGGGGGTTGTTCTGCTCCCAGTACAAAGCAGCCTCTTACCGGAGCTGCTCTCAGCACTCAGAAATTCACTTGGTTCCAATTTAAAATTCAAATTATTTCTTGTTAACGGCGGCGGCAAAGTGAATTCAAGTGAAGCCCTGAAGTAAATCTGGAATTGGATGGATTTGGGGTGGATGGGTTCTTTTTGTTGGGGATGGGGCTCACAGAATCCCAGGATTCTGGGGCTGGACAGCACCCAGTCCAGCCCAGGGTCACCTGGAGCAGGTGACACAGGTCCAGGTGGGTTTGGAGTCTCCAGACAGGGAGAATCCCCAGCTCCCTGGGCAGCAGCTCCAGGGCTCTGCCGCCTCCAGGGAAAGAAGTTTTCCCTCCTGCTGAGGTGGGATTTCTTGTGTTCTGCTGGTGTTTGTGCTCCTCCCTCATCACTCCAGTGATTAACGCAGAGAATTCCACCTCTGGCAGAACCCAGGGCTGGAATCCCTGGCTCTGTCAGGAGATTTATCCTTTCTCCCTATCAGGAAAGGGCTCCAGGCTTTGAATTCATCCTGCTCCAGGAAAACCCTTGGGCATGAGGACTGGAGCTGAAGCGGGAGCTACAGGAGATGCTGGAATCTCCTCCTGGAGACCCCCAAGGATCCCTGCAGACCCACCAACACCCCCTGGAGCAACAGGACACAAATCCTGCTGCTCAGAGACTCCTCTCAGCTTCCCCTGGGGAGGGTGAAGCTGTTCCCTGGCTCCCAGGTTTTCCCTGGAAGGTCAATCCCAGGCACTCACCTGGCTGCAAGCCCCCCAGGAGCCCGTTCCCAGCCCAGCAGAGCAGGCTCTGTTTGTCTTGGCAGGGAGGAGCAGTGTGGACACAGCTGCAGGATTTGTTTTGTCTCTCACACAAGTCTGGCTCGGCCAAATCTCTGCAGGCTTTGTGAAAATGCTCCTTTATGTAAAGAATTTCAGACAAACGGCCCCAAAGTCTGGCCCTGCTCAGCCCCTGCCTCTTCCCCTCTCTCCAAGCACAGGACACTTGGATTTTCCAGCCTTCTCCAGAAGTTTCCTTCAGGAATTTCCAGCTCTCTGCTCACACACAGCCAATGTCTGGCTGGATTTGGGAATCTCAGTGCTTCAGGAGGAAAAATGAGGAGGAGCTCACCAGGAGCCCTGGAGCTCAGGTTTAGGGGTTTGGGGGGGAAATCTCCCAGGGTAGGGCCCCCAGAGAGAAATCCTCCTAATTCTCCATAACTCAAGCAATTCCTGTGTGTTGGGAAAAGCCAAGGAGAGGGTTTAAAGAATCTGTAACTGCTGCAGAACAGCAGAATTGTCCAGAAAATTGGGGATGTCCCATTCCTGGAAGCATCCAAGGCCAGGCTAGAGCAGCCTGGGGTAGTGGAAGGTTTTAAGCTCCCTTCCAACCCAAACCACTCCACAATTCCCTGATGCTACAAAGGAGACCAGAACAAGGCAAGGTGACTCCAGGGGATGTGTGGAGGCTTTCACAGAGCTTCCCCTTCTCTGCAGCCAACAAATGAAGCTCAGACTTCAGCAGAGGCCTTGAACGGGGCTCAGCTGCACCCTGAGCTCCAGGAGATGCTTTTGGAGCCCCGGGATTTTGCACAGCCCTGTGGAACTGGGTGGATTCCTGCTGGCTGGAACCCCAGCTTGTAAACCAGGGGGAAAATCCCAGGAAAGGCAAGAGCAGCCCAATCCTTGAGAATGGAGCTGCACAGAACGAGCCCAGTCCTGGGAGAGGCAGGGGCTGGAAAAGCAGGACATTTCCAGGGCCTTTGGTCTCAGATCTGGGAGCTCAAGCACCGGCTCCGTGTTTCGGTTTCATTTCGCATCTGGGCCGCTCCAAACCTCGCCAAAAATCCTATCAGAGCTGGGAGTGTCCATCTGAGCCAGCAGGAAAGGGAGGAATTCCCTGGCTCAGCCCAACCTCGAAGAGCCCAAACCTGCTGTTGCACGCACACAGCAAAGCCACACCGAGCCCCATCCCGAGGAAATCCCATCCCACAGCCAGGAACCCAGCAGCACAAACGCCACAAAATCCAGAAGTAACCCCAGCCCGGGCTCCCCCAGGCCCGGAGCTGTGCCCTGGCAGGGCAGGGGCTGCGGGACCCTCACCTCTCTCGCACTGGGGCCCGGTGAAGCCGTAGACACAGGCGCAGCGGTTGGGGCCGATGCACCTGCCCCCGTTCTGGCAGCCGTTCTCACACACAGCTGAGGGGGGAAAAAAACAGAAAAACAGAGAATTCCATCACTCCTGCTCCTGGAGAGCCCCCTCCGTGCTGCTGGCAGAGCCTGGGGTGCCACCTCTGCCGTGGGTGGGGTGTCAGAGTCGGGGATATCAGCTCCGTGCTCTCCCTCCCGGAGAAATCTGGGATTTTTGTTCTTTTTCCTTGGGAAAATTGTTCCCTGTTGCTGGCTGAGCCCCCTTCTGCAGAGCCATAAGCTCCCCTTGCACTGGGGAGGATTTCCTGCCCTCTGGAATTTTGGTTCCCTCGGCTCAGCGTTGGGATTTCAGTGGGGTGAGTGGGTACGAGCAGGAAAATGCACACAGGGATGGGAGAAGGGGAGGGTGGATGGCAGGGACTTAACCCCAGTGAGGTCTGAGCAGCACTTGGGTGTTCCCTGACCTAAAATATTCCTGACTTAAGACATCCCAGACTTAAAATATTCCTGACTTAAATATTCAAGACTTAAAATATTCCTGACTTAAGATATTCCAGATTTAAGATATTTGAGACTTAAGATATTCGAGACTTAAGATATTCCAGATTTAAGGTATTCCAGACTTAAATATTCCAGCATTAAAATACTCCTGACCTAAGATATTCCAGATTTAAGATATTCCAGATTTAAGATAGTCCAGATTTAAAATATTCCTGACTTAAGGTATTCCAGACTTAAGATATTCCTGACTTGAGATATTCCAGACTTAAAATATTCCTGAACTAAAATATTCCAGACTTAAAATATTCCTGAACTAAAATATTCCAGACCTAAGATATTCCAAACTTAAATATTCCAGACTTAAGGCATTCCAGACATAAGACACTCCAGACTTAAAGTATTCCTGACTTAACCTGAGTCGTGCCGCCCCGAGGCGAGGCCCTGCACTGCGGGCAGGAGCCAGAGGCAGCTCCTGGCTGAAATCACGGACTGATGGAATGTGCAGAGCAGGAAGGGCCCCCCAGGCCAGCCCTGCCCTCGGTGCCAGGGCTGGGCTGGGGCCAGGGGTGCGGAGCTGCCCGGGATGTGCTGCCAGGGGAGCCGAGGGGATGGAGCTGGAGCAGCACAGAGCGAGGGCTGCACGTCCCAGCCCGCCCCGGCTGCTGCTGCTGCTGAGAATTTTCCCAAGCTTTTGCTGCTCAGGATGAAATTTTCCATCTGGAGCCTCTGCCTCCGGCTGAACTTTGGGGAAATATTCAGCACTGAGGGATCAGGGAGGAGCTGAGGGGGACTTTGGGGAGAATTGGGGGATTTTGGCTTTAAAAATCCTCAGCGGGAGTGATTCCCACGTGGATCCAGGGATCTGGAATTTGGGAAGTTCTGATTGATCTAATTGATAAGAGATTCTTTCAGAGATATTGTGCTTATTTGCTAACTAAAGGCTTCTTAAAATGTGTTACATGCTAGCATATCTATATTATCTATAAATATATATAATCTATATTTTATATAATAATAACATGCTACATATATCATTATACTATAGTAAGAGAATATATAATTCTAGAGATGTATAACTGTATATATAATACATAGGTGTATACTATATATAATATATTGTGCATATATTATCTCATATATAATAATATAACAATATATGAGATATAATATTAATATACTATACATTACATCCTATATTATGAATATATTATATATTAAAAGACATATCTATATATTCTATATTATCTATATATTACATACAGATAATATAGTGTATACAATACTATCCATATCTATTACCTATATATTATAATAGATTGAAAAATCTACATTATACTAATATATTACACATTATATTGGGAAATCAATTAACCCATTAATTATGTCTAATATCTGTATTTTGATACAGAGCTGTGCTGGTCACAAGAGAGGGCTGAGCTTCCAAGGGAGGGAGAACATGGCGCTGATGTTGGAGTGGCCTGGGTGCCCTTCCCTCTTCCCATTCCTGTTCCCGTTCCCATTCCCATCCCCATCCCCGTTCCCATCCCTGTTCCCATCCCCGTTCCCATTCCCATTCCCATTCCCATTCCCATTCCTATTCCTGTTCCCATTCCCATTCCCATCCCCATTCCTGGTCCAGTTCCCTTTCCCATCCCCATACCCATTCCCATCCCCATTCCCACATTCCCATTCCCATTCCCATCCCCATTCCCATTCCCGTTCCCATCCCCATTCCCATTCCCATTCCCGTTCCCATCCCCATTCCCATTCCCATTCCCGTTCCCATCCCCATTCCCATTCCCATTCCCGTTCCCATCCCCATTCCCATTCCCATTCCCGTTCCCATCCCCATTCCCATTCCCATTCCCGTTCCCATCCCCATTCCCATTCCCATTCCCGTTCCCATCCCCATTCCCATTCCCATTCCCGTTCCCATCCCCATTCCCATTCCCATTCCCGTTCCCATCCCCATTCCCATTCCCATTCCCGTTCCCATCCCCATTCCCATTCCCATTCCCGTTCCCATCCCCATTCCCATTCCCATTCCCGTTCCCATCCCCATTCCCATTCCCATTCCCGTTCCCATCCCCATTCCCATTCCCATTCCCGTTCCCATCCCCATTCCCATTCCCATTCCCGTTCCCATCCCCATTCCCATTCCCATTCCCGTTCCCATCCCCATTCCCATTCCCATTCCCGTTCCCATCCCCATTCCCATTCCCATTCCCGTTCCCATCCCCATTCCCATTCCCATTCCCGTTCCCATTCCCGTTCCCATTCCCGGTCCCGCACTCACGCTGCCCGCAGTAGGTGCCGGTGAATCCCTTCTGGCACAGGCAGGACTCCTCGGAGCAGCTGCCCCCGTTCATGCAGCGCACGCTGCAGCTCTGCACTGGGGACAGGGACAGGGACAGGGTCAGCCCCGGGAATTCCTGTCCTGGGAGGGGCTCCCGGGGTCACGGATCCAGCTCCTGATTCCCGACAGCCCAACAATCCCACCCTCTCACGGAGGGTTTTCCAAAGGCTCCTGGAGCTCTGGCAGGTTGGGAATGTGCCCATTCCCAGGGGAGCCCGGGCAGTGCCCACCACCCTGGGGGCAGAGCCTTTCCCTGAGCTCCATCCCAGCCCTCGTTCCCCACAAACCAAAGGCATCCATCCATCCATCCATCCATCCATCCTTTTACTTCCTTAAGGAATCCACCCCAACCAAACCCTTCCAGCTTTGTCCTTCCTGCAGGATTTCCTGCAGACGAGGGCATGGATAATTCCTGATGTCTCCCTGTCTTTGACACAACCCTGTCACAATCTTTTCTTCCAGCATTTTATCCTTGGCCAGTATTTTCCCACCCTTTTTATCATTGTTTTCCATTATTGCTCCATTTTCAACCCTTTTCACACTTTGGGCTGTCTAATCTTCCAAATTCCTCCCTGTCAAAGCCTTCTGAGGAGTTTGGGGAGATGGAATTTCTTTGGTGGAGGAAAATCATCAACTTCAAGATATTTCTCCTCCTTTTGCAAACAGAACGTGGCCTCCTTGACAAGATCCAGTTACTGGGAGAGGGTTTTTTTTAAAGGAATTTGGAAAGAAAAGCACGAATCCTCCATTCTTCCATGTGAGAGCTCAGCTTTCCCACGGGATTATGACCCACTGGATGTGACTGAGGCACTGCAGGAAAACAATAGCAATAAATAAATCGGGAACTTTTATCCTGCTCTGGACACCAAGTGTTGCCTTTAACTGTTTCCTCACTCCACGATGAAAGAATTTGGGATTAAAGCAGCCCAAAGAGGGATTTTTGGGGCTCCACAGTGAGTTACAAACACAACTTTCCCTCTGGAATGCCTGGAACAAAACATTCCTCCTCTGGAAGGTGTGACCACCCCAACTCCAAGGTCTGAGGTTGGAGCAAATCGTGTGAAAAGTGGATTTCACACAAAAACCCCACGGAGAGCCCAGCTCTGGCTGCCAGGGGAGGAGGGGCTGGGATCTGGCAGCTCCAGGGGTGGATTTATGGGATGGAGGCTCAGCTGTGGCTCCTCCAACACCAATTCCAGGCTGGGAAGAGCTGGGGCCAAGCGCCTGTGCAGGAGCAGCAGCACTCCCGAGTGTCCAAGTGGGAGAATTCAGGTTTTTGGGAATGCTGGGAGCAGGGAGGGCTGGGCTGGGAAGTCTCAGTGCTCCAAGTGCTGGGCACAAGGGCTGGACATGGGATTTGGGGCTGGGCTGGATCCATCCCCACGTCTGCTCATCTTCCTCCCTCTCCACAGCCAGGGATCAGCCCCAATTTAAATGGGAGTTTAATCCTCCAGGAAACTCCAGGCTTCAAAGCCTTGCCTGGATCGTCAGACACGAGGCTGCTCCGACTGGGAAAAGGCTCCAATGTGGAAAACGCTTCCCTACAGCCCTCAGCTGGCTCAGGCAGCCCTGGGAGAGCAGGGGAGGGTCTGGTGCCAGAGCTGTGCCCATGGCAGGGCTGCTCCCAGCCCACCCCGCAGGGAGCTCGGGATCAGCTCCAGTGGAGCTCAGGAATTTGGGGGCTTCAGGCTTTGGGCACAGGAAGAGCCCTGATCCTCACCCAGAAATTTCCAACCAACTGGCAAACACCTTTCCAGGTCCCATTTCTGACCCATGGCATGATCCCAAAATCCATGAGGTCCCATCAGCCTCTGATTTATCGGGGAATCCCAGACAGGTTTGGGCTGGAGGGGCCCTTAAAGCTCATCCCATTCCAGCCCTTCCATGGGCAGGGACCTTCCACTGCCCCAGGCTGCTCCAAGCCCTGTCCAACCTCAGATTGTCCAAGCCTGGCTCTGTTGGAACCCCTTGGGGATCTGGAATGCAGAAGGACATCTTCCAACCAGGAATTTCAAGGCTTTGCCAGGGGAGCAGAGGTCAAAGTTGTAGGAAAAGGAGGATGACAGAAAAAGGAGAAATGACAGGAAAAGGAGGAATGAGAGGGAAAGGAGGAATGAGAGGGAAAGGAGGAATGACAGGAAAAGGAGAATGACAGGAAAAGGGGGAATGAGAGGGAAAGGAGGAATGAGAGGGAAAGGAGGAATGACAGGAAAAGGAGAATGACAGGAAGAGGAATGACAGGAAAAGGAGGAATGAGAGGGAAAGGAGGAATGACAGGAAAAGGAGAATGACAGGAAAAGGGGGAATGAGAGGGAAAGGAGGAATGACAGGAAAAGGAGGATGACAGAAAAAGGAGAAATGACAGCAAAAAGAGGATGACAGAAAAAGGAGAAATGACAGGAAAAGGAGGAATGACAGAAAAAGGAGAAATGACAGGAAAAGGAGGAATGAGAGGGAAAGGAGAAACGACAGGAAAAGGAGGATGACAGCTCATCCTTGTTAACTTTTCCCAGGATTTGACTGGACTGGATTTGTCCTACAAATTATTGGAAGGGATCAGTGGCTCTGCCAGGGATCAGCTGTGGGGTTTTTGTCCCTACTCACTCCCTACTCCACCTGAACAGCCCCTAAAACATCTTCACTCCCTGAGTAGGAAACCAAGCAGGAAACGCCGCTCTTTGTTATTCCAGAGGAGGCACAGTGGCTTTTCTTGCCTCTGGAATGCACAGTTTGTCTGCTTTTCCACAGAAATCCAGCCCCCAACAGCGAATTCCAGATTGGAGGAGCCCCCCGCAGAGGAGCCCCCCCCTCTCGCAGCCAGCCCAGGCTCCCGGGAATGCCAGGGCCGTGCCCAGATGGATGCAGGGCTCTCGGCATTCCTGGAATTCCTCCCTGATTGCTCCCACATGGACCCTGACTCCCGCAGTTCGGTGGCTCCAGCACCTTCCCCTCCCCAGGCTCCGCTGCTTCCCGGGGATCTGCCGGCACAACGTGGCACTTGGGAAGCAGATCCCAGGAATTTCCTTCTCCCAAACACCCCCTGTGGCTTTGAGGGGTCACTTTACCACAAAGGCTCCTCTGCAGGAGGAAAAAATTTAATTAAAAAAAATTAAAAATAAACTAAACGGATGGGAAATGAATCCTTGGGATGTCTCTCTCCATCCTTAAAATACTCCAAAATCCCATTTATTTCTGCAGGGAAAACCCCCTCAACCCATAAAATATATTCTGAAACATGGAATATTTGGTGAGTTCTGCCCAGTTCAGGGTGGAGCTGCAGGGATTGGGTTCCTGTCCCTTTTGGGAGAGCACAGGAGCCCCAGGATGAGCAGGAGAATTCCCTCACCTCCAGCTGAGCCGCAGTTGGGGGAGAGCTGTCCATTGGAGCAGGTGCACATGTTGGGCCGGGAGCAGAATCCATCCCCGCAGGAATTCCTGCAGATTGCTGCAGCACACAAGGGTGGATCACGCTGGGGTCACACCTCGGGAATTCCCAGAGCTGGTTCTGCCCCTGGGTTCATCCCTCGGGAATTCCCAGAGCTGGTTCTGCCCCTGGGTTCATCCCTTGGGAATTCCCAATGCTGGCCCTGGGTTCATCCCTTGGGAATTCCCAGAGCTGCCCCTGGAATTCCCAGAGCTGCCCCTGGGTTCATCCCTTGGGAATTCCCAGAGCTGGCTCTGCCTCTGAGTTCATCTCTCGGGAGAGGAATCACCCAGGGAGGAGCTGGGGCTTCTCTGTGGTCACAGCAGGAGTGGGAAGGAGCAGAAATCCCATCCCATCCCATCCCATCCCATCCCATCCCATCCCATCCCATCCATCTTTATCCCCACAGAAATGCAGGACATCATCCAATTCATGGATTCTCCAGCCCAGACAGGAAGGAAAACTCCCAACCCAGCTGAGATTTATCTCAATCTTCCTCCCCTGGCCCCTTAAAGATGCAAATTCCCGCTGGGAAACACCTCTGGTGACACCAGGATTGCAATGTCCCCATCAATTAACGGAATTTTTCCACGGGAACGAGCAGGAAATCATTTCCTCAGGAGCCTCCTGTCCCAAAGCAGGCACTGCCAGGGGACACGGTGACACTCCAGAGGATTAATCTCAATCCAATAACTGGGACCAGCTGGGAACTGGGATTAGCAGAGCTGGGAATTGCCAGCAGCTCTGCTCCTGCTCTGCAGCGGGAGCTGGGAATTCCTTCCCCGGGGACACCAAGGGATCCAAGGATCCTTTTGATCCTTGGGGTGAGGGATACTCACGGACAATGCACTGGTTCCCCCCAGGCAGAGTTTTCCAGCCAGGGCAGCAGTAGGAATGGAACCTCGAGCCACAGACGTTTGGGCTGAAAAATCAAACACAGTTTTGGGGTTTTTTTCCCTCTGTTTCAGGGGCTTTGGATAAATCCAGGCAGTGCAGGAAAACAGGGAAGAGCTCCCTGTGGGATGTTTCCCTCCCAGCTCCATCCCCTCCTGTTTATAATTGTGGTTAAAATCACTGGAGGAGGAATGTGGCATCAATCCCCTGCACTGAGAGAGAAGGGATAAAGTGGAATATTTTTAATTAGGGGGTAGACACCACCTCTTTCCAAAAGGGATTCACCCCAGGATCCTGGGAGAGGGAGGCTGGAACTCAAAGATGCCAATTGTTCCTCCCAAAGTGAACCTTGCTGAGCATCTGCTAAAAATTAGCAAAGTTTCAAAATAAACCACGGGGAGAATCCACACTGAAGGGGGCTGGGATTAATGATGTCCCAGGAATGACCCAGGGGGAGAAGGGAATGAGATTCCAAAGCAAAAACTCCAGAAGGACAACGCTGGTTTGTAAGGGGTTGGGAAAGAAAATGTCACCTTCAGCAAATTTGGGATAAAATTCAGAGTTATCAGCAGTTTGCTCAGGGCTGGGAAACACGAGCTGGGGTCCTTCAGTTCCATCAGGAAGGTCAGGATAAAAGGGATGTCCTAAAATCATGGAATTACAGAATGGTTTGGGATGGAAGGACCTTAAAACTCATGGAATTCCAGCCCTGCCAGGGATAGGGACCCCTCCCACTGCCCCAGGCTGCTCCAAGCCTGGCCTTGGACACTTCCAGGGATGAGGGCATAATTTTAAAAAAAATGTTAAAAAATTAAATTTAAAATTAAATTTTAAAATCCAGAGGGTTTTTTTCCCCCTGCTCTCAGCTCTGCCTCCTTGGGGTTTCCATGGAAGCTGGAGCCTTTTTCCATGGATGCTTCGTCCCTTCTCACCTTGTGAGCCGCTGAAAGGGCTCATTAGCTAATGAGAATTATGCAAATGAGGTGAATGCGACCCAAAGAAGGAAGGACAGAGGGAAAACAAACGCTCGGCATCGCCTTTGTGCTCCTTAAACAAACGCCGGGATTAGCGATAAAAGGGGAGGGAGCCAGCGGGAATTGCAGAGCTGGGAAATGAGGGGAAAAAGGGGGAAAGAGGAAAAAAGAGGGGGGAAAAAAAGAAGAAAAAAGAGGGGGGGAAAGGCGGAAATACAGGGGAAAACCAGGGAAAAACAGAGGAAAAAAAAGAGGAAAAAAGAGGATAAAAAGAGGAAAAAAGAGGCAAAAAAGGGAAAAAAGAGGAAAAAGAGAGAAAAAAAGAGGAAAGAAGAGGGAAAGAAGAGGGAAAAAAGAAGGGAAAAAAGAGGAGAAAAAAGGAAAAATAGAGGAAAAAAGAGGGGGGAAAAGAGGGGAAAAAGAGGGGGGGAAAAGAGGAAAAAAATAATTAAATTAAAAAATAAAAAGGAGGAAAAGAAGAGGGGAAAAGAGGAAAAACCCACTGGAACAGAGCCCTGGGCTGGGAATGCTGGATGGGAGCCCCGGGCAGGAGGAGCCTCCTCCCAAAGCCATCCAACATTTTGGGGCACCCCGAGATTTCCCAGTTCTTTCTCCTTTCTCTCTCTGCATTCTCTGGGTAATTCCAGCTGTGAAATTCTGCTCTGCCAGCTCCTCCAGTCTGGGGAGAATGGAATTCCCAGTTCCCACCTTCCCTGTCCCTTCTCCTTATTGGAGATTTTTTTCTGTCTTCAAGTCTCATCCTGAGCAAAATTTGTGAGAAAAACCAAATTCTCCAGGAGCAGATTCAGCCAAATCCCAACTTGTCCACCTTTTTTAAAGAAATGACCATTGACTCCAGGTTTTCCCAACCTTCCAGAGCCACCTTTTGCTTCAGCAGTGAAAACTGACCTAATTCCAGCTTAATTTCAGTGCCAAAAGTTGGGATGTCTGCTACCCATGGAAAAGCTTCTTTAAGGAAGTTTCTTTTGGGATTATTTCTGACCCAGCCTCTTTTCTCTCATTGTGAAACTCAAACAAAATGAATGTGGATGACTTCAGCCTGTGGTTTTTCCAGGGACAATGATCCCACCTCTCCATCCGAGCTGGAAATCCTTCCCCCAATTCAGGATTTGCTCCGCGCCCGGATTTTTGCCGCGCCCTTGGGATCGGCTCTGACAATGACTGGGGGCAGCTCCGGAGCCCCCCTGGCCTCGGTGGGGGTCACAGGGGACAGGATCTGCTGCCAGACCTCAGGCTGGGTCTGGGAAAGCATCTCCCTTCCCACCCCGAGGGATTTGGGATTTGGGATTGTGCCAGATCCCAACCACCGCTCTGGGGTCTTGGGGCCCTCCTGCCCTGAGCAGATCCCCCAGGAAGTGCTGATGGGGTTTATCTCAGAGAATTCCCAGTTTGAGGAGTCCTCTGCTCATTCCCCCCCCCAGCCTGGTGGTGTTTGGTGAGGAATTTGGAATGGGAAAATTCCAGAAATCCCCCTGGGAAAGGCAGACCTGCCCCTGCTCAGTGTGGGGACAACGGCAAGGTGCTGCAGAGGGAATTCTGAATTCCTCCCACCTGGAAGCCACCCCTGGTTCTCCAAAGCAGCTCCCGAGGGCTTCGAGGAACGGGTTCAAGTCCCAACAATTCCAATTATTTTTGGTTCTGAGAGCTGGTGTTTAAAGGTGAGAGGTGCTGGATGTCTGCACCACGAGGAAAAGCCACAAAGCTCACAACTTCCAACAGAAATCTGGATGTGTGACACTGCCAGCACAGAAATATTCCAAACTCAGCACGTAGAAACACGGGATCATAAAATCCCAGCCTGGTTTGGGCTGGAAGGACCCTAAAGCCCACCCAAATCCAGCCCTGCCATGGGCAGGGACCCCTCCCACTGTCCCAGGCTGCTCCAACCCAGCCTTGGACCCCTCCAGGGATGGAGCAGCCACAGCTGCTCTGGGAATTCTCTTCACCTCTGGGAGATGGAATCAATATTTTTAATTATTCTTATTCGGTTTCATCAAAGGGATGAAGGAAAACAGAAGGAAAGCCTTGCAAAGGCTGTGCAGGGCTTGGGTTCCAGCCCAAAAATCCCGATTATTTTCTATTTCATGTTTTTTCAGCAAGGGGGGGATCTATTAAAATCCTGTTAAACACCTTTGCTTTGTCCATAAGAGCATTTTTCCCCCTTTATTGGGTTCTTCCCACATCTCCTCTGAGTGATGGTAGGAAAATCTCCCTTCTTGGTGCACATTTAATTCAACCCCTACAGACCAGCAAGGAACCTTTTCCTTTGAAAAAAAGACTAAAAACCCAACAGATTTCCAGGAACTACTTCACACTTTCATTTGGAATGCAGCACTACCAACTCTTCAATATTTCCCCCCCCCCTTTAAATTCAGAAATAAATCAAAACTTCAAATAGAGCCCTTAAAACTTCCAGACAAAACCCACACAACCTCTGGCTCCTCCGCCAGATATTCCTTGGCCATTCCAATATTCTCCCTCACGATTCCTGCCAAAAACAAGAGAGCCCAGCCACGGCCGGGAGGCCAAGATCAACCATTTCACAACATAAATCAGGGCCCAGAGGAAAAGTGAGGAACAAAAGTCTCGAGTCAGAGGTTTCCAAGTGCTGCCTTCACGTTGTTCCTGGTGTTGTTCGTAGTATCCCAGCCCTGGCAGGGGGAGCGAGGCTGGGACGTGGAGCTGGAAGCAGGAATGTGCTCCAGAGGTGCCTGGATCACAGGGGCAGAACTCCAGCTGCTCCTTTGCTGAGGGAAATCTGGGGCTCTTTTTGCTAATTTGGTTTTTGAAGCGTTTCAATCGTTGCTTTTCCTCCCCCTCCCAGCTCCCCCCAGTGAGGGGTTCTGGCTGCCTGGAACCCAGGATTGGGTCAAAAATTGGGAAATTTCAGCTTCTTAGGAGCACCTTGGTTCAGAGAATCATGGAATTGTCGAGGCTGGAAAAGACTTGGAGGTGCTCAGCTGGTGCCACCACCACGGTCACCAGCACGTCCCCAAGTGCCACCTCCACGTGGCTTTGAAACCTTTTTCCTTCCCAAAATTCTGGTGGAGCTGCAGGGTCAGGGGCGGACTCGGATGAAAGTCCAGCTGGAAAACCCCCGTGCCCCTCTCTGAGGACACTCAGGGGAGCTGCAGCTCCATCCTTGGCCTGCAGCATCACCCCAGAGTCAGGTCCAGGCCCGTTTGTGTCCCCTGGCCCCACGTCCCAGCCCGTGGCTTTCCCTCTCCTCTGCATCCAAGCTCTGGGAGGTTCTGGAGAACCCCTGAGCTCCTGCTTTGCACCTCCAGCACTTCCCTGATTTCCCTGTCCATCCCTCAGTGGCAAATCCAAGCTCAGGGAGGTTTTGGAGAACCCCTGAGCTCCAGTTCTGCAGCTCAAACACTTCCCTGTCCTTTCCCCAGTGGAAAACCCAAGCTCAGGGAGGTTCTGGAGAAACCCTCAGCTCCTGCTCTGCAGCTCCAGCAGTTCCCTGTCCATCCTTCAGTGGAAAATCCAAGCTCAGGTAGGTTTGGAGAACCCCTGAGCTCCTGTTCTGCAGCACCAGCATTTCCCTGATTTCCCTGTCCATCCCCCAGTGGAAAATCCAAGCTCTGGTAGGTTTGGAGAACCCCTGAGCTCCAATTCTGCACCTCCAGCACTTCCCTGATTTCCCTGTCCATCCCTCAGTGGCAAATCCAAGCTCAGGGAGGTTTTGGAGAACCCCTGAGCTCCAGTTCTGCAGCTCAAACACTTCCCTGTCCTTTCCCCAGTGGAAAACCCAAGCTCAGGGAGGTTCTGGAGAAACCCTCAGCTCCTGCTCTGCAGCTCCAGCACTTCCCTGTCCATCCTTCAGTGGAAAATCCAAGCTCAGGGAGGTTTGGAGAACTCCTGAGCTCCAGTTCTGCACCTCCAGAACTTCCCTGTCCTTTTTCCAGTGGAAAATCCAAGTTCAGGGAGGTTCTGGAGAAACCCTGACCTCCAGTTCTGCAGCTCCAACAGTTCCCTGTCCTTTCCCCAGTGGCAAATCCAAGCTCAGGGAGGTTTTGGAGAACCCCTGAGCTCCTGTTCTGCAGCACCAGCATTTCCCTGATTTCCCTGTCCATCCCCCAGTGGAAAATCCAAGCTCTGGTAGGTTTGGAGAACCCCTGAGCTCCAATTCTGCACCTCCAGCACTTCCCTGATTTCCCCCAGTGGCAAATCCAAGCTCAGGGAGGTTCTGGAGAACCCTTGAGCTCCTGTTCTGCACCTCCAGCAGTTCCCTGTCCATCCTTCAGTGGAAAATCCAAGCTCAGGGAGGTTTTGGAGAACCCCTGAGCTCCTGCTCTGCAGCTCCAGCACTTCCCTGTCCATCCCCAGTGGAAAATGAGGTGTCAGAAACCAGCTGGAAGCTGCTCCCGTTCCCTTTCCCCCACAATTACCGCGGCCCCCTGTGAGTGCTGCCCTCCCAAACTCCCCTCCCAACGCCCCCTCCCCATCATCTCCTCACTGCAGGGGCCAGCTGGTAATTAACAGCTGGCCATAACGAGCTGAGGACACCCGAAATGGCAGTGCCAGCATCTGCTCCAGGCTGCCCTGCTCCTGGAATCTGCCCAGGAGCAATAATCCCACCCCAGCCCTGCCTCAGAGGGGATTTGCCAGGGCTGGGCCCTTCAGGAGAGGCTCCTTTGGAATTGTCTCTCCTGTAATGGGTTTAAGGCCGGATTAAAGCCGGGCCTGGGCTGGGATTTATTGCTCCCCATGCCTTTATTAATTGTTATTTGGGAAAGCAGGGCTGGATAAGAGGCTTGTTTATTTTGCCTTTAATCCCCGCTTTGCATTTATTTCATACTTTTCCCCTTTATTGAAGGAGGGAGTGAGCTCTAAATAAATATAATTCCAGCAGAGACAGAGCCAATGTTTGGGCTGAACTGCTGGAGCCTCTTCCCAAAGCCTCTCCAAGTGCCCTTGAGTAGGGACAGCTCATGTTGGGCACCTGGAGTCCCTGGGAGCAACTCCTCCCTCCCAGTCCCATGGTTTTGGTGGATTCTGGATGATCTTTGAGGTCCTTCCAAGCCAAACCACTCTGGGATTCTGCAAAACCCACAGGAAGTGGTTTGTGCCACTTGTGGGTGATGTTTAAGAGAAGCTGAACCAATGTTTGGGTATTTTTGTCTGCCAGAGTTTAAAAAACTCCCTAAAAAATCACCTGAGTCCCATTTCTCTCTCTGAACTTCTGGTGGGGCTCTGTTTTCTCATCCAGTTTGGGAAACAACAGGATTTGGAGATGGAGGGAGAAAAGGAGGCACAGATAAAGATAAATCCCAGGAGAATTAGGGCTGGAAAACACCTCGGAGATCATCCCAACCATTAACCCAGCAGGGAGGAGCAAAAGGGAAGGAAAAAATTCCCAAAGGGAAGGGAAAAATCCAAATCTTGTCAGGGTTGGTGACTGTCCCTTGAGTCCTTGGATGTGTCTGTCCCTCACCAGGTTTTTGGGGAAGGAAAACATGGATAAATGCTCCAGGAATGGCAGGAAAATGTAAGAGGCTTAATAAAAGGTGTGGGAAGGGAAAACTCTGATTAACTGGCATTGGGGAACTAAATTCCTTCAGGGGACAAATAAAGCAGAGCTGCAGCCAGCCCAGGAGCCCTGGGAAGGTTTTCCCATGGGAGAACTGCCAGGACCTTGCCCTGCTCACCCTCAAACCCAGCAGCAAATCCTCAACCTTTGTCCCTTTTCCTCCATCCAGACCCAACATCCACATTTTTGGACCCTCAGTGCCCCGGGGGTGGTGCCCAGGGAATCTCCAGCCCAGCCCAGGGGACACAGCTGAGCTCAGCTGGGCTTTAATTCCAGCTCTGGAATTGCAAATTCCTCCCTGCACGCCCTGGAGCCAAGGGAAGGCTGAGGCCAGGACAGACCCCAGGCTGGAGCTGGTTTATCTCCCTGAAAGGGAAAGCTGGAGGGGCTGGGGAGGAAAAGCCAAAGCAAATATTTGCCGTGGTGTCCTGAGCTGTTGAATGGACACCAGGGATAAATGGGATTAAATGTTCACCCAGTGGCTTTGGGGAAGAGACAATTCCACAAAATGCAGCTGTCAAGGTCACCCACGTGCCCACAGGGTGGAACAAGGCCAGGTTCAAACAGCTGAGCCAGCCTTTGCTGACATTTCCCCCTTGGTTCACTCCTTTGGGAGAAGCACACCTGGAACTGGGACTGGTCTGCTTTTCCCAAAGGGAAATCCCACGGCAGCAAAGCCCTGAGGCCTTAGAGCAGCAAAAGCCAGGTCAGGGAAGATCCCAGAATGATTAAACTTGGAATCAACTTCCGAGATCATCAAGTCCTACCTCCCAACATTGACCCATAACTAAACTTCCCAGAATTGTTTCAAGGATTCCCTTCCATGCAGGCTGGAATTCCAGGAGGAGATTCCTCCATCCCCAAAGGCTGGAATTCCAGGAGGAGATGCCTCCATCCCCAAAGGCTGCAATTCCAGGAGGAGATGCCTCCATCTGGACAGGCTGGAATTCCAGGAGATTCCTCCATCCCCAAAGGCTGCAATTCCAGGAGGAGATCCCTCCATCCCCAAAGGCTGGAATTCCAGGAGGAGATCCCTCCATCCCCAAAGGCTGGAATTCCAGGAGGAGATGCCTCCATCTCGACAGGCTGGAATTCCAGGAGATTCCTCCATCCCCAAAGGCTGGAATTCCAGGAGGAGATCTCTCCATCCCCAAAGTCTGGAATTCCAGGAGGAGATTCCTCCATCCCCAAAGGCTGGAATTCCAGGAGGAGATCTCTCCATCCCCAAAGGTTGGAATTCCAGGAGGAGATTCCTCCATCCCCACAGGCTGGAATTCCAGGAGGAGATGCCTCCATCTGGACAGGCTGGAATTCCAGGAGATTCCTCCATCCCCAAAGGCTGGAATTCCAGAAGGAGATGCCTCCATCCCCAAAGGCTGGAATTCCAGGAGATTCCTCCATCCCCAAAGGTTGGAATTCCAGGAGGAGATGCCTCCATCTGGACAGGCTGGAATTCCAGGAGATTCCTCCATCCCCAAAGGCTGGAATTCCAGGAGGACATTCCCCCCTCCCCACTTGGGCTCCATCCGCAGCCCAAAGCCAGCCCATTCTGGGGCAGTGCCCCCATTCCAGCAGCATTCCAGCATTCCCCAGCCTCTGGCACTGCCCAGCCCCGCGCGTGGATCCCGCTCTGCTCCTGCCCACGGGCCAGGAACGCCGCCAGGAGCTGCAGCCAGACAGGCTTAAAAGAACTTAAAATAACCCCGGATCAGCAGGGGCCAGGAACCATCTTAGAGCAGCAGAGCCGAGCTCAGCCCGGGCCTGGACTCCCTCCTCAGGGGGGAAATGGCCCCAAATTTGGGAGAGAGCAGGAGCTGCTCCAGGGGACCGAGCACAGCCCCTTCCCCGGGGTAAAACCCCCCCAGCACAGCCCCAGCACCTGGAGCTCAGCCAGAGGGACCCCAGGGGCAAATCCCCAGGTGACAGCATCCCCAGGGATGTGGGAAGGACAGGCACAGCCCCCGGTGCCAGGCGTGGAATGGGCTGGCTTGGAAGGGACCTCAGAGCCCACCCAGTGCCAGCCCTGCCATGGCAGGGTCACCTCCCACCGTCCCAGCTGCTCCAGGGATGGGATGTCCCTGGGAATTGCCTGGGAATTCTGCGCCCACCCGCCCAGGGAGGACAAACCCAGCCACCAGGTGGGTGTGGGGGCTCTGCAGTCCCTGCAGGTGAGCCCCAAGTGCTGTGACCCCAAAAAGAGCTCAGTGCCCAGCACTGCTCCCACGGGATCCTCAGGGAACGGCAATCCCGCCAGCCCAGCTCTGCTAACAACCCAAAAAAAAAAATCTGCTTTTCCAAAGAGGCGAGAACACCCACTCACCCTCGCAGCGAGTCCTGGCCCCTTCTCCTCACTCTGCTCGGGGGTCTCTCCTCGTAGGCAGCAAATCTGTCCGTCTGCAAGTCCCCCTCGTACTGTCCCCGCGCCGGGGCCACCGCCAGCACGGCCGTGCAGCCCAGCAGGAGCCGGGCCAGCCACCAATCCCCCATGCTGGCCACAGTGCCCAGAGTCCCCCGAGAGCTTTGTCCAGCTGCAGGCTCCCTGCTGCCCCGGCAGGAGGAGGAGGATGGATTTTGGCAGCAGCCCCCGGGTGCCAAGGACCCGTCCTGGAGTTCTGGAAGGAAAAAAGAGATTTTTTTTTTTTTTAAGGAGTTTCTTGTTTTTGAAGTCGTTGGTCAGCGCAGGCAGCTCGTCCTGGAGCTGATCCAGGGGGTCCCCAGTGTCACCCAGTGTCCCCACTGCCAGCCCCCACCGCTGCCCTGCCAAATCTTTCTTTCCCAAGAAAAGAAACCAGGAGCTGCCTGAGAGTTGTGGCTCTGCCTCACACTCATTTTCCTGATGGAGAAACAAAGAGCAACCAAAGTCCTCCAAGGCAAGAGGAGAACGTCAAGAAAGAGCAGCTCCTGCCCGTGGACCATCATCCCACAGCTCCAGCAGATCCCAGCTCATCCCTGCTGAGGGGACAGCCCCTGGCATGGGGACAGCCCCTGGCATGGCCCTGACCCCCCCAGGGATGTCCTGGGGGTGGCCCCTGGGACAGCCTGGGTGATTTCAGGGGGCTGAGGGGAAGGCAGGGGTGGCCAGGCTGGGATCGGGGGGGAGGAGATGAGAAATCCCAAGGGAAAAGCTCCAAAAGGGATCCCACCCCATCCCCAGGGCCACCACTCCCCAGTCCCCCAGCTGTGCCCCTGGGGAGCCCATCCTTCCTCCTCCTCCTCCCAGCTCTCACCTCAGGACCCCCAAAATTTGGAGCTGCAGGAGTGAGGAATCCTCCTGGAACAATCTGTGCTGCGAGAGGCCCCGGGTGGGGAAGGAGAGGCCCCCGAGCCACCCCTGACTGTCCCCCCTGCTCTCCCACTGCAGCTTTCCCGGGCCAGCCCAGCCTCGAAAATCAGCCCAGACAGCACAGAAAATGTGTCTGAAGCAAAAAAAAAAAAAAAAACCAAAAAAAAACCACCAAAAACCCAAACAACAGGAACAAAACCAAAAAGGTTTCTTTTCCAAGAGATATTTGCCATCAGAATTTCCTTGGGGTGAGGAAGAAAACCTCACACTCCAAAAAACCAAAAAAAAAAAAAAAAAAAAAAAAAAAAAAAAAAAAACAAACAAAAAAAAACCTAAAAATTATTAAAAAATAATTTAAAAATCATTCAAAGTTCAATTTCCCTCGCTGCTCCCAGCGTCCCAGCTGGGAATGTCTCAGCTCTTGAGGGCAGGAATTTTTCAGGCTCTAAGGTTTCAAACGCGGGGAGTGAGGAGAGGGGAAGGGGAAAGGAGACAAAGAAATGCCCTCCCCGCAGCCCCCCGAGCCTGGCTCTGCGGGCTCCGCTTATCTCCAGCCACACAAAAGGCAGAGTGTTCCTTCCCTGTCCCGCAGCTCCCGAGGAACGGGGGGAGGAAAAAGTGGCAAAAAAAAAAATATAAAAAAAAATTTAAAAAATAAAATAAACTTTAAAAAAGGCGCAAAAATGTTTCGCACTCCGGCGATTTAAAGCGAAGGAATTCCAGCTGCATCCATTTCCCCGCGGGGGGATGAGGAGCCTGACAAATGATCGATACACGGGACATTCCCGGAGAGCTCACACAGGCATGGAAAAGTCATTTACAGCCGCCAGAGAGTCGCAGCTTCAATGGAATAAAAGCCTCCAAAAAGTTCTCTGCAGCGCTGAGAAATTCCAGCAAACCCCACTTGCGAGAAATCCCAGCTGGGAATGTCTCAGCTCTTGAGGGCAGGAATTTTTCAGGCTCTAAGGTTTCAAACGCGGGGAGTGAGGAGAGGGGAAGGGGAAAGGAGACAAAGAAATGCCCTCCCCGCAGCCCCCCGAGCCTGGCTCTGCGGGCTCCGCTTATCTCCAGCCACACAAAAGGCAGAGTGTTCCTTCCCTGTCCCGCAGCTCCCGAGGAACGGGGGGAGGAAAAAGTGACCAAAAAAAAAAATATTAAAAAAAAATTTAAAAAATAAAATAAACTTTAAAAAAGGCGCAAAAATGTTTCGCACTCCGGCGATTTAAAGCGAAGGAATTCCAGCTGCATCCATTTCCCCGCGGGGGGATGAGGAGCCTGACAAATGATCGATACACGGGACATTCCCGGAGAGCTCACACAGGCATGGAAAAGTCATTTACAGCCGCCAGAGAGTCGCAGCTTCAATGGAATAAAAGCCTCCAAAAAGTTCTCTGCAGCGCTGAGAAATTCCAGCGAACCCCACTTGGGAGAAAGACACTGAGAAAGCGATGAGACAACGGAGCCCTAAAAATTCAGATTTTAAACCGGTTGGGAAGGAAGCAGGAAAACACTTCCAAGGCGAGGCTGTGTGAAACGAAATCAATTCAAAATAACTAAAAAATGTGCGAGACACAATCAAACGGAGAAAGGATTAAAAGAGGAAAGAAATGAGCTGCGCAGCTCCGGGGAGAGGCGGAAAGAGGTGAAATACCTTTGAGTCCTGGAGCTGGTGATGTGCCCGGAGCTCCTTTGTTTAGTGGAGGGCTGGGCAGGACAGAAGGGACTGCGAGGCTCACTCCTGGGCAGGGGAGAAAAGGTACAGCCTCATCCCGGCCGGGGGAGGGCCCGGCCGGTGGGAGTAGCTCAGCCCAGCATCCTCCAGCCAAAATTCTCCGAGGAGGGGCTGGGGGAGAGCTCGGCACCTCGGCACTGCCGGGCTCCGATCCCGGATTTTGGCCGCTGACAGCGGCTTCGCTTCAAAGGGGTCGGGGGTTAATTAGGGTGCAGTGTTAATTTTGGGGGAAGTGGTGCAGCAGGGAAAAGTTTCAAGTGAAAAGCGTTTTTTCTGGCTTGCCTGGGTTTAGTGGAACTCGCCTGAAACGTGGGTTTTTGAAGGAATAGGTGACCCAGCCCAGGATCTTCACAGCCAAAAGTTACCTTGGCTCCGGAGGAGAAAAACCTTGGTGGTTAAGAAGAATTTTCGCAAAAGAAATCATTTTTAAAAGAAAAGCATGATGCAGATATTCAGTCTTCCTCCCGAGGAAGAACTTTGTCAGTTGGGAGTTCACTCTTGGGCTCTGTGAAAAAACAAAACAATAAAACCAAAAAAAAACCCCCAATTTTCTTCTGCCTCTCGCTGTAGGCCCCACCACCGATGGCTTTTCTTCAAATAGAATAAAATAAAATAGAATATTTCTTCAAATAGAATAAATCCTCTGTCTGCTCCGTGCCACTGCACACCCACGGCTCTTCCCAGGGGTGCGAGCCTGGAATCCTCCAAGGAAAGCCCAAATCCGGCTGATTTCCACTCCAGGGCATTTAGGGGAGCTCCTGCACCAAGTGGGGTGCAAAGGGAGACCCCAGGGAGACCCCAGGGAGACCCCAGGGTGACCCTGGCTCTGCTCCAGCCCCGTCCCCTCCTGACCCCAGCCCGGCAGGCTCCAGCCGCAGCCGTCGGCTCCGAGCAAACCTGGAATTCCGAATTCCAGGGGAGCCTGAGCCCTTCTCCCCCGCTCCCTCTGAACCCCTCGGCGCTCCTTTGTTCCCAGCGCTGTTCCCAGTCAGCCCCTGCCGGCTCCGGAGGGGTCAGGAGAGGCTCGGCCTAATTAACAGCGGCCTAATTAGCAGCGACCTCGCGGGATGCCGGGGGAAAGGCAGAGCCGGGAATGGAGCCGGGCAGGGAAGGCAGCTCTGCCAGGAGACAATTCCCACTCCAGCTCCTGTTCCCACTCGCATTCCATCCCATTCCCATTCCCATTCCCATCCTCACCCCATTCCCATTCCCTATTCCCACTCCTACTCCCATCCCATCCCATCCCATTCCCATTCCCACCCCATTCCCATTCCCACTCCTACTCCCACCCCATCCCATTCCCATTCCCATTCCCACCCCATTCCCATTCCCATTCCCACTCCCATCCCATCCCATCCCATTCCCATTCCCATTCCCATTCCCATTCCCATTCCCATTCCCATTCCCTTCCCATTCCCATTCCCACTCCCATCCCATCCCATCCCATTCCCATTCCCATTCCCATTCCCATCCCATTCCCACTCCATCCCCATCCCCATTCCCATTCCCACCCCATTCCCATCCCATCCATCCCATCCCATCCCACCCCATTCCCACCCCATTCCCACTTCCCAATCCTGCCCCCATTCCTGTGAAATCCACTGGGCTTTACCAGGTGGGAAGGGCAGGACTGGGACATCCCACGGGGAAAAAGAGCCAGCAAAGACCCCAAAATGCCATTTTCCTCCCCCTGGAGGAGAGGGGCTTTAAACCCAGCTTAGGCTCAGCTCAAGGAGCTGCCCGGGAAGGGTTTCACTTCTTAATGAGTGAAGCACAGTGGAAGAATGCTTGTAATTAATTATTGTTGTTATTAATTACGTGCTTGGAGCAGAACCTTCAGAGTAATTGAGTTTTTTGCTGCCCTGAGCAGAGTGAGAAATGAAGACACAGGAGGAGTCATTTAGGGGCGATTTGATGAATGTTTTAGTTTGACCTGAACACAGAATTTAGATTTTAGATCACACAAATTTGGGTTCAAATGGCTTTTTAATTAATTTTCAATTATTGTATCTCTTCAAGCTTCTAAAAGGAAAAAGCACAGCCTATAACTTTACCATTAATAAATCAAATATTTGCAGATGATTCATCACCTGTCCAAAGCATTTAACAAACCCAGAACGGATTTATGAGCTTTCCCAGTTTGGATTCAGGAATTTTTGCCACGTCTCCTGTGCAAGCAGGTGGAACTTTGAGCAATAAATAATGCAAATGAGGGCAGAGAAAAAGATCCAATCTCTTCATTTTGGGGAGCTCCAGGAGGTGGGAAAATCCTGTGGGAAAATGGGATGAGATCCTTGTTCATTCATGTCTTTGGAATCATGGAAATGCCCAGGGGAGGGGGCTTAAAGCTGCTTTAAAAGTTGTTCAACTCAACGTTTTAATGTTCATGTTCTACATCAAAACTCGTGGCACTTTCTCTTGGAGGAAAAGATACCAGGAACTGGGAAATGAGGAACTGGGATATCGGGAATTGGGAAATGAGGAATT